GGCAAGATCACCACCATGATATACCTACAGGTTTCGGTATCGGCCTTCCTCACGCTCTTCTCGGCGCGCACCCACGAGGGCTTCCTCTGGTCGGCCGCGCCAAACCCCATCCTGCTCCTGGCAGGCTTCATTGCGCTCTCGGTATCTACGGCTCTCGCATGCGCCTGGCCTCGCGGCCACCTGGACAACCAGCCGGTGGAGGGGCTAGCGTACGGCAGCTACACGCTGCTGCCGCTGTGGATCTGGTTGTACTGCGTCTTCTGGTGGTTCGTACAGGACACGCTCAAGGTGTTGACGTACCGGTACTGGGTCATGCGCAGGTAAGCTTGTGACCTTCCTCGGTCACTACCTACATGCATCTCCCTTTGTCCGCTCTGAGCAGTGAGTTTGTGCCTTCCCTGCGCCGGTGTTTTTGTCTCACCTGCTGCGCTCCAGGTACAACATCTTTGACATTAACACCCAGCAGGTATGTCTGACAAGAAGTTGAGATGGCGCTGAGAAGGCATTTAGATTGGGCCTCGTCGCCGTTGCAGACGGACAGGTTCTTTTCCAATGTGGATGTTGATGAAGTTGCAAGGAAACTGCTAAGTGCACACGTCAGGGTTAACGCAGAATATAGCGTATCTGCTGTCCTTGGCCATACCCTTCTTGCACAGCTCCCTGTTGCCCCCCAACTCCTCGGTGTTCCGCCTCCCGCAGCTCGTCAACCTGCGCGACGCCTCCCGGCCTGAGGACCCCAACCGCCCGCTGGCGGCCGGCTCGGTGGGCATCACGGAGACCAAGCTGCTGGACCACCGCATCTCAAACGCAACGGAAGTGCTGGAGCGAGTGTCAGGTGGGACGTCCGCTGCGGGCCGCGGGCCATTTTGAGCTCGTAGCATCTACACTAAAGCGTCCTCTCCTCCCCTTGCCCCTCCCTGCCTTCCCATGCAGCATCAACCGACGGTCAGCTTGCATGTGTATCCAAAGGTCTGACTCTGGCCCGATCAAGTGGCCGGGCATTCCGGGAGACGATGTCCCACCGGGGCCGCAGCATGCTGCTGAGGAGCCCCGCCGCTGCGGCTGCTGCCATGGTGCGGCCGCCTCTGGATGTGGAGAAGGACGGCGTTGCCGCACTGCCCCCATGCGAGTACGTGCACGAGTCCATAGACGCCCTACGGGAAGCGGCTGGGGCGCTAAGCCCGCAGGTAGGGCATGAAGGGAGACGATGCACGAATTTAAGGCTGTGTACTTGGATTAAAGCGGGTAAACTGTCGTGGAGTGAACCAACGTTTGGCTTGGGATTTCTACGGGGTGCAGTCTTTTTGGGCTACCGCTTGGATTCTTCCTTGCATGCGACACTTACATGCTGCCTCTTCTACCTATCGCGCAGGTCCGCGCCGAGATCGAGCCGCACCTGGCTCCAGTCCAGACGGCGGCCGGGCAGCTGGACGAGGTGGCGCGCGCCTTTGAGCTGCCCGGGGCCAGCAGGGACCGTGCGGCAGCGCAGGCGGCGCGACGAGGCACACGCTAGAGCCGTGCGAGGGCCGGAGGCATGGTCTAATCGTTGACTGTCACTTTCTGCATGGACGGACACGGTGCAGATGCGATCCTTGGGCACTGTTGCTCGTCGTGTACTAGTTGGTTTGGATAGAGAACTGGTGTACAGGAGTTTGCGTGAAGGCAGGCGCTACCTGGGATAGGCAACACTACATGGATGGGCTGTGGCAATGCTCGTGCAATCGCCTCAAAGGGTATGCACGTTCGTAAAGATGTCGTTGTGCATGTATCTGTGCAGTAATTGCACACTTCGCAAAACATCGGATCGTGCTATGGTTGATATGTGAAGTTGAAGGCAGCGGGCACATGAATGAATACCGGCATGCGGCTTCTTGTACTCGCTTGCAACTAATGCGTTCGCACGCGGTCCTCATCAGCATACACTAGGTAGATTTTAGCATCCTGCCACCCTACTGTTCGATATTGCGTTTCTCAGACGTCTTTCACCATTATGACTTGCTCAGCAAGCAATATCTTCGCGAGAACAACACGCGCAGGCAGTGTCCGGCCCATGCGACCCATGGGTCGCAGGCGCTACCCTACCCTGCCTAAGGTGTAACGAATCACAAACGCGTGGTGGCATTGCAACTGCAAGTCTTGGAATCTTTGCATTCTGGAAAAGCATCTGGATTGACTTCTCATTGGATGTAGTACGTGCGACAAACCTAAATTGACGACCCATTTTTTGCTGTAGATCCTTGTAGTGACGTTGAGTTGGTATGATACGAAAATAGGAAACTGCATATACTTTTTGCAGTTTCGTGCACACCTTCTTGATTAGCCTCAACCCTCGGCAGCAGCCCTAGTTGCTCGCACCCTTCAAGTACCAGGTTCACAAGGAAAACCATCGCTTGCAGTCCCCACACTAGTTGGTTCCTCGCGGCTAGTTTTATGAAGGAATTGCAGTTTCGGCGCACACGGGGCGCTCTGTCAAGGACCCTTTCGGGTTGTCATCCTCGACTCTCCACGTGCGTGATTGCATAAACCCTTGGAACACCAATACATAGTATCATTGACGGGTACAGCAAGCATTCCACCACTGGCTTAATTTCCTGAACTCCGGATGGCACATCAAGCGCGCCCCCATAACTTGGCCGAGGCGCCGCCGCCCGCGGGCCCCGAAGACAATAGTCGGGCTGCGCATGCGGGACCAGATGGAGGCGCTATTGGCGACAAAGCCAAGGCGGGCGCTGCTGCGCCTGCTGCGATTGATGGGGGCGGAGATGACTTCGACTCGCAGGGCGACAAGGCCGAGCGCAAGGAATTCAAGCCTTCAACTGGCATCACTTCTGCAGGTATGAAGTAACTACGCTTCTACAGCTTGTTTGCTGGCAGTGGTGCGCGCTTGTAGCCAAACCCGAGTTGGCTTTTAACACTCGTGTCGCGCGCTAGCCCAAGATAAGCTTGTCAGCTCTTTTTGGTGCACCGGATGCATGTATTACACGCACATTGTGATACTCATGCGTGCATTGTAGTGATGGCGGAAGATGAACAGCCGCACTCAGCTTCGTGTGCTGTATCGGGACTATAGCCCTAGCAGCATCACGCGCGTTTGGCCACTGCTTTCATCCGCTGCATTGAACATACCCGCACACCTAACAAGTGCAGTCCACAGGAAAATTCATCCATAACGGTTTTGGCATCCTTTCATTCTGAACCCGACAGAGGCCGCGGAAAGGCTTCGGCAGTTTGGTCGCAACGAGCTGGAGGAGAAAGTCACTCCTTCGTGGCTTATTTACCTCAAACAGGCGAGTCCAGGACTGGACTTTGGTCAGGGGGCGGGCCCTGCACGCATGCGGCGCCACCGTTGCCTTCCGCGTACGAAAGCTACCATGGATATCCAACCCACACCCGCCTTACCTCTAGCTCGTGAGCCGCCCATGCATATCCTCATTGCACGCCGTTGCCCATCATGATGTCGCCAACCTCCGCTTCCCTCCTCACCCTCCCTTGCAGCTCTCAGCGCCCATGCCCATCATGATCTGGATCGCCGCAATCATCGAGGCCGCCATTGAAAACTGGGCCGACATGGGCATCCTGCTGGGCATCCAGTTTGTGAACGCGACGTTGGGATGGTAAGAAAGGAGGCCCGGGTGAACGCGTTGTGTGCATTGGAGGCAGAGGCTGTATGCGGTTGTTGTTGGGTTGGGTGCCAGGCAGGCGGAATGGTGAATGCAGGAGCGCTTCATGCTACGCAACGCTGCACATCTAGGGGCATGCGGCTGTCCTGAGTCATAGGCATTGACAGTGCACGTTAATCCCTGGTTTCACACCTCAGGTATGAGACCACAAAGGCCGGCAATGCGGTGGCAGCGCTCAAGGCGTCCCTCAAGCCGCAGGCGACCGCCAAGCGCGACGGCTCCTGGGTTACCATGGATGCCGCTCTCCTCGTGCCTGGCGACCTTGTCCTGATCGGTTCCGGAGCCAGCGTGCCCGCGGACTGCATCATCAACCACGGCAACGTGGATGTGGACCAGTCGGCGCTGACGGGCGAGTCGCTGCCCGTGTCCATGCACGAGGGCGACAGCTGTAAGATGGGCTCCACGGTGGTGCGTGGCGAGACGGAGGCCACGGTGGAGGTGAGCGGCAGGAACATGGCACAGGACAAGGAACACGGCGGCTTCGGCTATCTCTGCTTGTAGGCAAATTAGGAAAGGGTCAGTCGGGTTGTTAGGCCAGCTTGCAATGGTGACAACCTATGGGGAGCGCAGGAAGTGCTTCCCCACACGCACTTGTTCTGACCACCGCCCTCACCTTTGCACCCTGCCCTCCTAACCCTTGAAACTATTTCGAACAGTTCACCGGGAAGAACACTTTCTTTGGACGCACCGCCAGTCTGCTGCAAGCCGGCGGCAACGAGCTGGGGCACCTTCAGAAGATCCTGCTCATGATCATGGGGGTGCTGCTGGCCGCCTCCTTTACGCTGTGCTTAACTGCCTTTGGCTACTTGCTGGGTCGCCACACGAGCTTCAAGGAGGCGCTGGAGTTTACGGTGGTCCTGCTGGTGGCCTCCATCCCTATCGCCATCGAGATCGTGTGCACAACTACTCTGGCTCTTGGCTCACGACAGCTGAGCTCGCACGGCGCTATCGTGACGAGGCTGGCTGCCATCGAGGACATGGCTGGCATGAATATGCTCTGCTCCGACAAGACAGGCACGCTGACGCTCAACAAGATGGTCATCCAGGTGGGAAAATAATTATTCCGGGGCCTTGGAAGTTCCGAGGCCATGGATGTGCCCGGGCTTGCTGCACATGTAAAGGGATCAGGTCTGCTGTGTCTGCTGCTGTCTACAGCGTAGCCCTTTGATGCTATTCTCGTGTTCTCATTCCATTATGTAAGAATGAACAGATGGTCTACCTAGGTGCTTTTTCTAGCGAGAACCTAATCGTACAGCTTAATCGACAGATTGCGACAGCTGAAATATGGGTCGTAGATGGCTATGTTGGGAAGCATAGATCATTATGTTAAAAAGTGTTATTCATTTCTACCGGCTGCTTTCACTTTTTATTCTATCGGTACCCCAACTCTACCCAGTCAACCGCCAACCAAGTGTATTTCCAAAGCCTTCTGCTTTACAGTACAGAAATCATCGTGATACGTCCTTGCTTTGCTGAGTTTTAGTTGAACTTCCATCCGGAGTTTTCGCCTGTTAGGATATCCGACAATGACTTGCAGCAACATCGGAGCTGAAGCCTATCCCCTCAGGCTGCGTCCGCGGTCACATGCTTCAGGCTCTAAAGCTGGTCATACAAGCATAGAGACTTACGTTACCCCTTGCTAAGAATCCCATTCTACGCTTGCAGGATGAGACCCCGACGTACGTTTCAGGGATCGGTCAGTCTGACGTCCTTAAGATGGGAGCCCTAGCTGCGAAGTGGCGCGAGCCACCCCGCGATGCCCTCGACACACTGGTGCTGGGGTCCGCAGACCTATCCGCCTTAAACGACTATCAGCAGTTGGAGTACATGCCCTTTGATGCACGGTTCAAGCGCACTGAGTCGACGATTAAGGCACCGGATGGTCGAGTCTTCAAGGTATGCTGCTGTGAAGGGTGAGGGGTGAGGGTCGAGAGCGCAGCCGCAGTAGGGAAGGAGCCAGGGTGAGAACAGCGATGAAGACACGTGACGTCTCGTATTGAATATTCTGTTGCGCTGTGTTCCTGCCACCACCAGTTGTAAACCTTGTAATAGAAGCTGTATTAGAAGCTGTACATCTACCTGGATGCCAATCTTTCGTTTTCCGCTGGGTTCCGATTGTCTTTGCCTTTGCTCGTCAGGTCACGAAGGGCGCCCCTCATGTCATCCTGGCCCTGCTGCCGCGCACCGACTACGCTATCATCCAAGCGGTTGAAGCTCATGTGCGAGCACTGGGGCAGCGGGGCATTCGAGCGCTGGCGGTTGCCAAGTCCGAGGGAAATGACGGTGAGGGAATCACAGTATACAGAAATGACACCTCAAGCAGAGCCCTTCCAACATAGTCAAGGAGCTGTTCTTCCAGCTGTTGCCCCAAGCCCCCGACCTGCGGCGTCAGAGGCAGACGTTAGGTGTTAGGTCCCGGTTGTTGCTGTACGAGAGCCTAGCGCAGAACCTCCTACCAGCTATTTAGGTTCTTATTGTGAATGCCCTCCTGACGCACGGCACGTGACCCCATCCCGCTTTCCGCGCCATAGCTCCGTGGCAGATGCTTGGCCTTCTTACCTTCCTGGACCCCCCGCGCCCGGACACCAAGCGCACCATCGAGCGGGCGCTGGAGTTCGGGGTGGACGTGAAGATGATCACCGGAGACCACCTGCTCATTGCAAAGGTGGGAATGTAGGGGGGAATGCATGGCAAAGCGCGCATGCCCCAAGGAGCAAACATTCGCAGTGCTCGCTACCGGTATGCTGTTGCCGCATAACATGCGTCCTAAGTAACTGGTGGTCTCTTGCCTGTATGTGTGCAGGAAACTGCACGCGTGCTGGGGCTGGGTACCAATATCCAGGAGCCCTCGCACCTGCCCACCATTGACGCCGAGGGCAAGGCGCCCAAGGACCTGGGCAAGAACTACGGCAAGGTCATTATGGAGGCGGACGGCTTTGCTCAGGTGATTTGAAGGGGTATGAAAGGAACGATCGAGTCTAGGAGAGCTGGGAGCGGGGCCCTTCCCTTCCTTCACAGCAAGCCCTCCATTGCCCTGGTCACTCTTCTTGATGCTCTTTCAATGCACCCGCCGCCAGGTCTTCCCCGACCACAAGTACCTGATCGTTGAGGCTCTGCGCCAGAACGGGTTCGCAGTGGGCATGACCGGCGACGGTGTCAACGACGCCCCCGCGCTCAAGCGAGCCGACGTGGGTGTGGCGGTGCAGGGCGCCACAGACGCGGCGCGAGCTGCCGCCGACATCGTGCTGACGGAGCCGGGCCTGAGCACCATCATTGAGGCCATCATCGTGGCTCGCTCCATCTTCCAGCGCATGCAGAACTTCATCAACTATCGTATCGCAGCCACACTGCAGCTGCTCACCTTCTTCTTCATTGCCGTGCTATCGTTTCCGCCCAGCAAGTACGAGCCGGCAGGTGGGTCAGGAAAGGAGCAGATAGCAGCTACACCTGTGATCCTGTGATATCCTGGGACGCTCTCTGTTCTGCATCAGGATTGGGAACGCTGCACTGCGAGCATGAGGGCTGGCAAGACGTCTAGGAAACGTGTCGAGGGGAAATGCCCACATGGCAGAAGCTTACTTGTGCCCCATGCTACCCCATGTTCCAATGTGTGACCCTTTTCCTCAGGCGTCGAGGAACCCTGGCCGTCATACTTCCGGATGCCGGTGAGGCCACAGAGAGGGTTCAGTCGTCTTAGGGACCTTCGCATGGAGGGACATGCTTGCGTTTGATGGCGGTACAGCTTGATGTTGAGGCCTATCCGTGATGCGCCCCGCTCACCTGCCACCCCCCCAAACCGCCCCCAGGTCATCATGCTGATGCTCATCACGCTGCTGAATGACGGCACCCTCATCTCGATCGGCTACGACCACGTAAAGCCCTCGCACATGCCGGAGAAATGGAACTTAAAGGTACGCACATGTGCAGCACAAAGCAGGGCCCTAGTATGGCGGCGCCGTACATCTTGCATGTGGGCGACATTACCTCCATACATCCATACCCATTCACCCAGCTTGTTTTGGCTCAACACGCCTGGCTCAACACGCTTCTCACGGCTCTCTTTCCTGCTGTTCCCCAGGCTCTGTTCACCATCTCCATTGTGCTGGGCCTGGTTGCATGCGGCTCCTCCCTCTTGCTGCTGTGGGCCGCGCTGGACAGCTGGAACCCCGGCAGCATCTTCCAGCGCTGGCGTATTGGCGGCGTGCCGTACGGCAAGATCACCACCATGATCTACCTCAAGGTATCCGTTTCCGACTTCCTCACGCTCTTCTCCGCGCGTACCCACGACGGCTTCTTCTGGTCGGTCGCACCCAGTCCCATCCTGCTGGGCGCCGCCACGCTAGCGTTGTCGCTCTCCACGGCTCTCGCATGCGCCTGGCCTCGCGGCCACCTGGACAATCAGCCGGTGGAGGGGCTAGCGTACGGCAGCTACACGCTGCTTCCGCTGTGGATCTGGTTGTACTGCATCTTCTGGTGGTTCGTACAGGACGCGCTCAAGGTCTTTGCCTACTGGGTGATGCGCAGGTTGGTGGGTCTTCCACAGTGTTGCCCTGGTATGGGGAGCCTACATCAGGCGGGTTAGGGAAGCCATCTCCTCAGCTATGCCCCTACCCCTCGCTGCTGACAATCCCGCGCGCCTCTGGTTGCAGGTACAACATCTTCAACATCAACACCCACCAGGTGCGTGAAGCCTAAAGGACGCTCTAGACGGCGCGGGGGCTGGGTGGTTCTGAACGGGTGCAACTGTGCGACCACAGACCGCCGGCTGGGGAGTGGGATATTGTAGTAGGCTATCCCGTACTCCCCTGGCCATGCCTCACGACTCGCCATGTCCCCGTTGTTCCCGCCTCCCCGCAGCTCGTCAACCTGCGCGAGGCCTCCCGGCCTGAGGACCCCAACCGCCCACTGGCGGCCGGCTCGGTGGGCCTCACGGAGACCAAGCTGTTGCACCACCGCATCACTAACGCAACAGAGGTGCTGGAGCGAGTGTCAGGTGGGGTGAAAGGCGAGGTAGTGGGGTGCCCGAGGAAGGAGAAGGCATCACTAAACCTTTGCGATGAAGGCGCCCAAATGAAAGGCGTAGAAGAGAGTGCGCAACGAACTTCAGTGATCCTATGTGATTGTTTTAGCTCACCGGCCTCCGGCCTCCTTTACCCGCACTGCTTCTGCAGCTGTTGCGCCGGGCCAGATCGCCCGCGTGTCCCAGGGCCTGGCCCTGGCCCGCTCCAGCGCCCGAGTGGTGCGGGAGACGGTGTCCCGCAGGAGCCCCACCGCTGCGGCAATGCCTCAGCCCCCTACCGATATGGAGGCGGCGGCAGAGACGGCACTGCCACCGGGCGAGTACGTCCACGAGTCTGTGGAGGCGCTTCGAGAGGCTGTGGAGGCGCTTAGTCCTGAGGTAAGGTTGAGGGTGGTAGGAGGCAGGAAGCACCGATGACAGTGCTGGGCCTGTCGTTGCTCATGTCCCGGTTCGGCGTAACACCGTGCTCCATGATGTGGCAGCGGTGCACCTTTGTTTGCGTTTCCCAAGGGGTCCTGGCACGACGAGCACTGCTGAGCTGGTCCTTATGTGCCTTGTGTTGCGCAGGTCCGCGCCGAGATCGAGCCGCACCTGGCCCCGGTCCAGGCGGCGGCCGGGCAGCTGGACGATGTGGCTCGCGCCTTCGAGCTGCCCGGGGCCAGCAGGGACTCCGCGGCAGCGCAGGCGGCGCGACGAGGCTCCCGCTAGAGCTGTGCCGGAGGGCATGGCCTGATAGTTGAACTTCAGAGCCACAGGTGCCCGTGCCCGTACTGCAGGGTGCAACTGCGCTTTAGGGGACCCTTCCTTTCTTACCCGGCCTCCTCCTTGTACCAGTAGCGGCACGTCATGCTAGCGTGCAATGTTTGCTTGTGTCCCACATGCAACCACACTGGGTCCACATTTGTTGTGCGCATCATTAGTCCACGTCGTGGGAATCTGCTTTGAACCATGTAGCATGGTTTACCCAGCGCGTTTGTTAAGATAAGTGCCGTATGCATGGATTATGAAGGCTTTCATGTTGCTTGTCCTGGCACTCGCGTGTGCTATGAGCTGCGGGCGCGTATACAAAGGGTATCTCGACCTAAGGCATAACCTGTGCGGGGAGTGGAGGCACGATGGAAGAGATGGATAGGTAGGATGGGTATCATGTGGGTTTGGCAGTTACTGAGCGCATGTACCCTACTGGCTCTATGTCTCAAAAATGCCAGAGTTGCATTAGTCGTGTGGTCTAAGTTGCCAACGTAACTGGGTCGACTCCCCTCTTACGGTAATTCAATCTTGAGCACACATCAAGCAGAATGACATTTGAAGTAATATTTTGCGAACTGATGCAAGGGGCAATGTGCAGTGAGGGCGGTCGTACACAGCAAGTCGTTGTAAGTCGTGTCACTACGAAGCAAGTCGTGTCACTGAGACGACAGGCGCCTGGGATGCAGGGTTACGAGGTAGCTCGAGACAAATGACTCATGGTACGAAACATGCAACTAAGTTTACTTGCTATTCTATTGCGATTAAATTGTCATGTAGAGCAGGCATCGACTATTACAGAAGGGCGGCAGCGGCACCTGGCAACGTTGTTAGGAAAGTTGCCAGGGCACGGGACAAGGACAAGGACATGAATGCCCTCACGGGCAACCTTCGACAACGAACTGAACCAAGTGGCCAGTACGAGCTTATCGGCCCTGGGATTGCAGAACGACTAGCACTGTTCGTAAGGATAACTTTTCTTATGCAACAACTACAATAAAGCCATCAGTCTGTGGCAAAACAGGATAGCGAGGCACAACCTTCAACCCATAGCGCAACGTAGGCGATACTGTGACGCGGGCATCAACATCACCAACAAGATACGATGGAAGTGCTGAACTGATCTAGAAAACACACTTCGTCGCACACTCTTTCTTTCCTCATTTGGTCACGTCGTGCTACACCTGTAGCCGCTCGATCACCTACGCATTAAGCTGCACGGCAACACATGCCATAGCTTTGTCGCACATACACAAGAGCACAACAGTCCATATGCCACCCCAGACTGGCCGCACAGTACCAATACACCATGTCATGCTACCATACCATCCGATCCCTGAATATTGCCTTCGATGGCAGATTACCCGCTGGTGAAGTGGCTACCAGCTTCAAGACGCGGGGGGCATGCCATGGCTATGCTGTACCACGATGCGAAGGTCAGCATTTATTCAGTACTGGCGCCGAAGTACAAGCACACATGCACGCGACTATCGCGGCATGGATCACACACCATGCATGCCGCATCCGAGAATAGAGGACCCAAACCCAGATCGCGTTCATATCCAGACCACAATACCCACACCCACACCCACATACACACTGTTTCACTCGAGCTAGACTCACACCCGTCGGCTGCTGGTCATGGCCTGAGCGGCGGACGTGCTGGCGCCTGTGAGCGCCTGTGTGGTGTTCACGGCCAGCCTCTCAGCCGCCTCACGCACCGACTCCAGCGCCGGGTTGACGTCGTCCCGCACCTTGGGCGTGAGGCTCATCGCAACGGCACCCAGAGCATCCACCACCTGGTCCACGGAAGCCACGTTCTCCTCGACGTCGCCCTTGACTGAGCTGGGCTTGGAACCGTGGTGCGCCTGCACACGAGACTGGGGCCGAGTTACAAGCCAGCATGGAGGGCATGTTTGACCAATGTAAAAGTACATGCGCCGTATTGGACAACGCTACACCCGTCTAAACAACCTCCTTAAATTCATGTGTGCCCATGCGTGCGTGACGGTGCAACCCAACGCACCTGCTTCAGGGTAGCGGACATGCGGGTGAGGTTGGCGGAGGCGCGAGCCAGGTTCATGGAGGCACGGCCAAGGCCCTCGTCAGCCTTAGCGGCATGGTTCAGCTTGTGCTGCGCCTCCTCGACCTGCGGCAAAAGATCGGGTCACGGCGTGGGTTACGAACGCGGTTTCCGCCAATCAGACAGGCCCTATCGACTTTTGACGAGTATGAACTGTACAATCCATCTACTCAATGCCAAGCCCATCCGGCCCCTGTAACTGTATCCATACGGTCCCTGTGTCCCATGCGCTACCCGTGTATCCCTGGTACCACATGCGTGCTTTCCCCCGCGAGTACGAACCTTGGCTGCAAGAAGCTTGCCCTCCACCAGGCCAACGCTACCGCGCGCCAGCGGGCTGCTCACGTTCGTGGCGTCACGCTTGTTGACAACGGCCTACACGAGGGACGAGGCACGGACATCAGCTTACAAAAGACATTCGTGCAGCGTGTTGGCTAGGAAGAGGCCCAGGACTGCAGTCACGCTTACCGCGGTGTTGATGTCGAACAGGTTGAAGCGGTGCATGATCCAGTAAGCGCCGACCTTCATTCCGTCTTGCACGAACCACCAGAAGATGCAGTAGATCCAGATCCAAAGAGGCATGAGCGTGTAATCGCCGTACGCCAGACCCTCGCAGGGTGTGTTGTCGGTGTGACCCGTGGGCCACACGCACGCCAGGACCGTGGAGATGGACAGCGCCAGGATACCAGCAATGAGCAGGATAGGGCTCGGACGAGCCGACCAGAACCACCCGTCGTGGGTACGAGCAGAGAAGAGCGTGAGGAAATCGGAGACGGACACCTTGAGGTAGATCATGGTGGTGATCTGGAGGGTTGCGTGGTGTGGGGAAGATGAGGCTTACAGCACGACGGCAATCATGCAAAGCTTTATGCTTTAAATTCCTATGTACAGTAGGCCTCTATTATAACTTTTTGGCAACCCAATGACGACCCAAATGCTGCCATTGAGTGGGCCACAGGGCATACCAACGCACCTTGCCGTACGGCATGGAACCCATGCCCCACTTCTGGAAGATGCCATCCGGGTTCCAGCTGTCAAGCGCCGCCCAGAGGAGCAGGATACTCGAGCCGCATGCAACGCCGCCCAGCACAATGGACACGGCGAACAGGACCTGCACGTGAAGGGAACGGCGCAACTCGCTACCAGGTCCAAACATTACTGCCTCGACACAGGGTGGGATAGCTCGTCCATGCCAGGATTTAAAAGTAACGACCGTGGTTGATGTGCGATAACCAGCTATGAAGCATGGTGCAGAGCGTCATCGTACACGATGTACGTACCAGAGTGCAAGGTTTGCGCTATGCTACATAATAAGGCCCCAGTCCCAAAGCATACCTTGAGGTTCCACTTCTCGGGCATGGTCGAGGGCTTCACATTGTCGTAGCCGATGGAAATGAGCGTGCCGTCGTTCAGCAGCGTGATAAGCATGAGCATCAGCACCTGAGGGTCCAAAAACACAGTTTGTGAGACGCCGCAGACAGGGCGGTGGGGCTATGAAGCTCACGTACGGTAGGCTGGCTAGGACACAACCGAGAAGGCAGCTGCCCAGCTGAGAATACAGAGCAAAGAAATTCAGGTTGCCCCCTTAAGCCGCAACCCGTCCTACCGGCATCTTGAAGAAGTCCGGCCACTCAGTGTTGTCCGGCGAGCAGAGCTCCTCAGGGTTCTCGGCGCAGGGAATCTTCGCCGGAGCGTACTCCTTGGGCTTCAAGGTCAGCACGGCGATGAAGAAGAAGGTGAGCAGCTGCAGCGTGGCTGAGATACGGTAGTTGATGAAGTTCTTCATGCGCTGGAAGATGCAACGGGCCGTCACAATGCCATGCACAATGGCGCTCAGACCCGGCTGCGTCAGCACGATATCGGCGGCAGCACGCGCGGCGTCGGTGGAGCCCTGCACCGCCACACCCACATCGGCGCGCTTCAGCGCGGGGGCGTCGTTGACACCGTCGCCGGTCATGCCCACTGCGAAACCGTTCTGGCGCAGAGCCTCAACAATCAGGTACTTGTGCTCGGGGAAGACCTATGAAAGAAGGGGACCGGAGTAAGGCGCGAGAGTGAGGGCAGCGCACGGCCATGCGGTGCTTGGGTCTTCGTAGGATGCAGGAGTCTGGTAGCAACAGTAGGTTTCGCTGCATGGCACCCGCTAGCCTTGCCTCGCTTTACTTTTGCACATATCCTTACAGGACACTAGCCCTGAGCCCACCTGAGCAAAGCCGTCCGCCTCCATGATGAGCTTGCCGTACTTCTTGCCCAGGTCCTTGGGCGCCTTGCCATCACCCTCCATGTTGGGCAGGCTCTTAGGGTCGTGGATGTTGACTCCCATGCCCAGCACGCGCGCCGTCTCCTGAGATGCGCAATTGTACGGCAAGGCAGCGACCATCGTCAGCGCTCGTCCCGCACAAAGGTACGATGCATTGCTGTCCTTCATACGTACGCATGCATGTGGGTTCCCTGACAAAGTTCAAGTTGGAGTTCCGGAAGGAAGGCCAAGAATGCAGACCCATCCCACCTTGGCAATCAGGATGTTGTCACCGGTGATCATCTTCACATCCACGCCAAAGGCCATGGCCTTGTGAATCGTGTCCTTGGTGTCCGGGCGCGGAGGGTCCAGGAAGGTCAGCAGACCGGCCATGTGCCACTCACCGTCTGCAGAGCGCATTCGCATATGGGCGGTGCGTTGACAACAAGACCAAAGCAGTTGGCGAAAGGAAGGCGCCCGTGCTGTACAATAAGGTGCATGGGGACCAGCTCAAACGCAACGGCTACATTCAACGCAAAATGAACTGCAAGATGCCGAGTGCGCTCTAGAGGACGCCCTGCAACTCACCCTGCAGGGTCCTGGCGACGGCAAGGCAGCGGACGCCGCGCTGGCCGAAGCCAGCGACAGAGTGCTCAACGATCTCGCACATGTGGGGGTCCTTGATGAGCTTGAGGATGATGTGGGGCGCGCCCTTGCTGACCTTGAAGGTGCTGCCGTCGCGCTTGTCGCGGATGGTGCCCTCCGTACGCTTCACGGTGGGGTCAAAGGGCATGTAGTCCACCTGCTCGTACACGTCCAGCGCGGCGAGGTTCTGCTGGGGGCTGCTCAGCACCAGCGTGTCGAGGGCGTCGCGGGGCGGCTCGTGCCACTTGGCGGCCAGGGCGGCCAGCTGCAGCAGCTTCACCTGGTCCAGGTCCGGCAGGTAGACGGGGGTCTCGTCCTGCGAGATAGAAAGGCGGGGGCCAGCAGGAAGGCAAGGTCACGTTGGCGTTATGGACAACACAATATAGCAGGTATGGCATGGGTGACAGCATGCCGAGTTGCAGTGAGCAAACCAGTGTTAACATCAACACTCCAAGTGCCCCGCTTACATGTCAGCAGCCCTATGGCTGCTCCTGAAGCTACTGCCTCCCTCCCTCGGCTCCCTCAACACCCAGTTCCTGCTTCCCACGCACCTGGATAACCATCTTGTTGAGCGTCAGGGTACCGGTCTTGTCCGAGCAGAGCATGTTCATGCCAGCCATGTCCTCAATGGCAGCCAGACGAGTCACGATAGCGCCGTGCGCGCTCAGCTCACGCGAGCCAAGAGCCAGAGTGGTCGTGCACACGATCTCAATAGCGATAGGGATGGAAGCAACCAGCAGCACGACAGTGAAGCTCAGCGCCTCCTTGAACGGCTCGCCCTTGCCCAGCAGGAAACCGAAGGCGGTGCCGCACAGCACAAAGGACGTGACCACCAGCACAAACATGATGGTGAGCAGAATCTTCTGAAGGTGCCCTAGCTCGTCGCCGCCAGCTTGCAGCAGCGACGCGGTCTTGCCGAAGAAGGTGTTCTTGCCAGTGAACTGCGTGCGAACAGACGGGGTGGTTATTATGAGGTGTCAATGGACCCTAACCCTCCCGCTTCCCTATAACCGCCACAGCACCCCCGCCAGCCTGCCCCTGCCGCTCACCTCCACCGTGGCCTCCGTCTCGCCGCGCACCACCGTGGAGCCCATCTTGCAGCTGTCGCCCTCACGCATGGACACGGGCAGCGACTCGCCCGTCAGCGCCGACTGGTCCACATCCACGGTTCCGTGGTTGATGAGGCAGTCAGCGGGCACGCTGGAGCCGCTGGCTACCAGCACCAAGTCGCCAGGCACGACGAAGGCGGCGTCCAAGGTGACCCACTTCCCATCACGCTTGACGGTGGCCTGCGGCTTGAGAGATGCCTTGAGCGCTGCCACGGCGTTACCGGCCTTTTGGGTCTCGTACCTGCGGGCATGCATGCGGATTAGCTGGGTCCCGATGGTACTGAAACCCTGCCCAATGCTTGCCCCCTGGCCCGCTAAGTGAATTTTAAACCCACGCTCACCAGCCTAGGAAGGCGTTGATGAACTGGATACCAAGCAGGATGCCGAAGTCTGGCCAGTTTTGAATAGCAGCCTCGATGATAGCGGCAATCCAAATCTGGAGACAGAGGGTTAGGCTTGTTAACATTGGCGGCACCACCCAGAATTGCAGAGGTGCACAGTAAAAGCGCTTACCATGATAGGCATCGGTTGGATGAGCTGTAGATTCGTTGGTGAGGTGAAAGGGGAAAGAGGGTACGGGGGGAGCAAGTAAATCATAATGAGGGTGGGACGTAGTGTCAAGGTGTAACACAGGTAACCAAGCGCAGATACGCAGTCGCGGCGCGGGTGGGATTTCCGTTCCACTGCCCGCCGTCGTGCGTCCATTCCTTGCAACACAGATGCCAAAGAACAGTGTTCAGGAAGGGTGTATGTGGTAATGGGTACCTAACAAGGCGTAGTTAAGGCTCTTTGATGCTTTGTTGTATAGCGGGTTCGGTTGAAGTATTTACAACGCTGTAAATGTCGTCCGTGGCCGCGGATGGAGCCTGAGCCCGCACCTGCTTAAGGAAGACGAGCCAACTAGGCGTAGTCTTTTCCTCAAGCTCATTGCGACCATGTACCCTTAGCAACTCCTCGGCCTCTGCAGATAGACAGTACACAGTGATTGCCGCCGCCAGTTTCGGAATAACAGCAAACCCTGGGCCGCAAACTCCCGCCCAATAATTCATAGCATCTTGCGGGCGACACCCACCTTTCGAAGTTAAGCCGACGCTACGCACGAATTCTTTCTTGGGTCCTTCATGTTCCAGCGGGTCGTGGTCGGCCATTTTAGCGGACCTCTGACGACCTTATAGTATCCCGCCGAACTATAGCGAGGAGATTAAGTTAATAAGTAGTTCGGTCGGAGAACATCATAAAGTCAAGAGTTCCCCTTCTATTCCGCGTCGACACACTTCCCCTGAAGAGTAACAAATGTTACTCTCTTAAAAGTATTCCCCCGAGTTCAAATGAACCAAATATAGTGTAGATGGCCTCGCTTTTCTCCACCGCACACCTGTCGTAACAGGAGATGCGCCGAAGTTCCTACCCTGGAGTGACCCAAACCCTAAAACCCTAAATGACTATCATCTTTCCAATACAATTAAGAATGTGGTTAACGTGACTTACTGTAGCTCCAACCAAAGCATCCAGCTCAAGTCTGGTTGGGAAGGCCTACTGGTGTGCTTGACTCAAGGGCGAGTGAAACTTTATGTCGCTATATTTCTTTGACTGCTATTAATTAAGTTTGACCTTTAGGTGTGACGTTTCTTTCCGCTCCTGTATATTCCTTGTATGGCCAGAGGGCAAGAGGAGGGATGGGGCAAAAATGAATGAAAAGTGAAGCACGGGATAGACATGTAGAGCATTGTGAGGGGTCGGGATAAAGGGAAACGACCAACGAACCGTGTAATATGGCGTTATCATGGTTGCATGGGGGAAAAGAAGAATATGCATGAGGGCGGCGGTGGGGGCCATGTGGCAGCGAAGTGGGGCGTTGAGCTAAGCTGTTAGGAGGCGGATTGTTGCGATGGGGCCGCGTCGCGCGCTGACCGGCGAGAGAGATCGGCAAGCGGTTAGTCGCCAATGCCGGAATAGCCGCGAGAGACGTCAAAAATGTATGTTGTATTGATCTATACTTGTTGAACTAAACTAGGGCAAGGGAAGACGGCGCGCCGAACCATGGGTCCGGCCGCGAGGGATTGCTGCTGCGAGAGCTACTTACTTTACATGAGCCTCGTCGGTACCGGTACTCGTAGCGCGTAATTGACTCGCTGTTACCTTTTCTATTTACCAGTAACGGTTGGATTACTAAGAACGTAACGGCCGAGCGAAGCGAGGCCGTACTGTTCGCGATGGGATTGTGGTACGAAGCCTGATGACTCAACAGGGGTTTTGGTATTTCCTGGTAGAGGGGCCCCTGATATAGCTGTTTGCCTTGTTGAATAGAGGATCTGAGGCTGTTCTTGCTGCGCATAGGGAATAACCCTCCAAGGGTTTGTGCCAGTAAGTGTTTCAGTCTGGTTGACGTCATGCTGACATCACGATGACGCTATGGCTGTGCAACGTTGTCGCTCTAGGGAGGGTCCCTGCCTTCAGTATAAATACCGGGGCCTTTTCCGGGGTTAAAGAAGACCTGTTAAAGACCTATCCGTGGTCGTACCTGTGCAGGGCTATCCGTCCTTGTGTCCAGGACTATCAGGCTTCCAGGAACGGGCCTGTAAACCCGCTTTGAACAGGCTATAACACTTGTAAGGTCAGAGCATCTTCAAGTGCTACGCCGTCGTGTCTCCCAAGGCTTCGCCGGCGCCTACCAGGCTTCCAGCCGCCCGGACAGCAAGCGCCAAGCCCAGAACCGGTTAGGGCTCAGCTTCGCTAGGCCCGTACTGTTACCGCAATTGCCAGACCTGAGGCGAGGGCCGTAGGCCCGAGCCCTGCACCCGAACGCCGCAGGACTAGGCTCTGTACCTATTCCCAGCCCCAGAAACGAGCTCGGTCACAGTAGTTAGCCTTTGCCGTACACATTGCCAGGGGTTCGGCCCGCGTAAAGGCATCGCACACAGCCGCTAGTGCGCCGTAACCAGTCAGTAGCCTCCGCCGCACCACGCTAGGCTAGGACGGTAGCAGCGCAGTGCAATCGTCTCCATACGGGCACTGTGTGGGGTCGTACAGCACCAGCACCCTGGGCACAATAGCCGACGGCCAGCAGCATCAGTTCCTTAGGGGGTTACACACTCGCAAAAATTTTCGTCAGGATGGTGTACTGGTCGTAGGGCGTTCCCTGGTATCGAGACCAGGTTGCTAGCTGCCGTACGACACCCCGTACCTAGCCATTAAACATGGACGGCGAGGCCGTTATCCCGCCGGTTGGAGCCCCATCCACTCCAAGTGTCCTGCACCCTTCCTGCTTCAACGCCGTGCCTATTTACCGCCCCGGCGACAATGCACGGCAGTGGGTTACGCAACTGGAGCAGGCGGCCGAGCTGTTTGCTTGGCCGGATCCTATCAAGCTTCGGCTGGCTGTTTGCCGGCTGGGTGACGGTGCTGCGACCTGGCATGCTGGAGTCAAGACCGCCGTCGGCACGTGGGCCGCTTTCAAGGACGCCTTCCTTGAGCGGTTTGACGTCGATATGAAGGAGTTGTACAGCCGGTTGACCCGCTGCCGCCAGGAGAGGGGCGAGTCAGTGCGCGCCTATTCTGATCGGTACCGGGATCTGGCGGCTCAGCTGCAGGTGGATATCTCCGCCGGCCCTATCCATCTGTACAACTTCGTGCAAGGCCTACTGCCCAAGATCTGTAGCAAGGTTTACCTCATGAAGCCCGCCACGTTGGAGGAGGCGGTCAAGGACGCCATCTACGTTAGCGGGGTTATGGAGCGTTGCATTATCCAGGAGGACGGCGGCAGCCTGGGGCCCCCTGCTCTTCCGCGGCGCGGCGACGGACCCCGGCCGGAGGAGCGCCCCAGCGACCGCTGACTCAAGTGGCAAGACCGTCGGGATTGTCCGCTCGGCGCGCTGCCCGCGGGGCAGCGGCGCGAGCCGAATCAGGGACCTCCTAACCACCCCGGCGACCGTAACCGATGGGAGAATGGGCCAGCGGCAGGGGTGCCTCTTAAGGCCGCCAGCGGTCCGTCGCTGGAGTCGCAGGTGGCAGACCTCTCTAAACAGTTGGCCCGCATGCAGCTGTATATGGACAGCATGCAGGCAGCTTACTACTGCACCCCGGTCAGCTGCCAGCCGTCACTTGAGGAGGAGGACAGGCGAGCCCAGGGGGCACCAGCCCACGCAACGGACCCAGGCGCCGCCAGCAGGCGGGTGGCCGTTCCCAACCTCGGGCACTGTCCCCAGCAGCAGCAGGCTCCAGTTGCTACGGGCACAGCGGCCACGCAGCAGGGTGCCGCGCGTTCCGGGGGCGAGCCAGTTTCACCTGAGCCGGCCGAGACCAAAGGTCATCATGGTCAACCACCACCATGGTTGACCATGGTCAACAGCGGGGTGCGCGGTGCCAGTGGGGTTGTACGGTCACCAGTGGATTGGACAGCAGCCTTTCGGCCAAGGCGGCGGCCCGTTAAGCGCTCAGACCGTGCGGACCCTGTCCCAGCGACTGCCAAGCTCGAGGGCACGGCCATGGCGGCCCCCAGTACCCCGAACGCTGCCCCCACCGGCATCTGTGCCAGGGAGGAGCAACGGGAGGCACCAGCGGTCCCTCCAGCTTCAACGGCATCTGGAGGCAACAAGATGGGTCAGCGGCAGCCAGGGGTCCTCTTCGGTGAGGAAACGAGCTTGGAGGACAGCGAAGAGAGGGCGGATATGGTACTTCTGGCGGAGTCAGCGGGGCCACGCGAGGGGCTACGGCCTCCCTCGCCCACATCCGCCGGCATGGAAGCTAGTGGCAGCTCCGGCAACGGCGACGACGATGGCAGCGATGTCGGCTCCAGTGCGGGGCTGCCGATAGGAGGCGAAGACACGGGCGGGGCTCAAGAGGCCCCACCTCCCTGTTCGGGCTCTTCTGGCTCTGGGGAGGCGGGCGGCGCCGTGCCAGGTCGCGGATGCGGCACAGACCAGGGCAGCGGCAGGCAGCAAGCCACTCCGGAGGACACTGACGTAGCCCCGGACCCCCTTCGGAGGCGCCCGGCTCCAGCGGTGGCAGTGGTTTCGAGTGAGCCCGCTGGTGGACTGGCAGCAGGGATAGAGGAGGCGGGCAGCGGAGCAGGGGCTCGCAGCAGTCCTTCTACCACTCTTAGTTGTGGGCGTGGAGTTCTCGAGGGCCCTTACAGCGACGTTTCCGGTGTCAGCCCTTACGCGGTCGCAGCCCGCTACTCCGTGATGGGGGAGGGTAGCAACACGCGACCAGCACGCGACGGCTGGGTAGGGGCTCCTGATGGGGTGGCGCCGGGTGGAATGGAACAGGTGGAGGCTCCGACCCTTGGCATCCAAGCAGCGGGCATGGAAGCTTCCGTTGTGGAGGGAGAGCCCAGCCCAGCGGAGCTCTGGCGCATTACATCCTGTCCACCGCCGGGAGGTGGCTGGGAGAGCCAGGCAACCCGACAGCCGACTGACTTCAGGGCATCAATGAAGCTAAGACCGGACCAGGAGTCGCGGGATGGTACAGCCAGTTATGTAGGGCCTCACCACAGTGCGGGGGAACCCCCGCATGGCCGTCCTCTTGACTGGGGCGGAGACTCGCATCACCGCCATAACAGGGTTTCATCGGACTTTGTGCCTGCCAGCAGTTGGCAAGTGTCACGGACAGCCGCCACTCGCATGGACGAAGCGGTACCCGACCCCAAGACTCGGTATCAATACGGACACACAGGCACAGCGCTAGAGGAGGTAGTGGCAGCATCTGCAGCGCTCAGGCCTGAGGGACAGCTGCCAACTGCCTGGGAGTCAGCCACTGCGGCTGCTGGCAGTGCAGCCAGCCCGAGCAGTGGGTGGAGCGCCGCGGATGACCGGGATGAGAGCTGGAGCTTCGGCAGCAGCCTTCATGACATTGGCCAGGACCTTCAGCCCGGTTTACCGTGCGCGGTTGGGCTGACGGTGGCTGGCATGATGGGCATTGACGGGCGGCCGCTCAGTGCCCCGCTGGGACATGTGCTGGACGGGGCGCGTGGCCCCACTGGCCCGGGTCCCGGCGGCCGGCATGGGAAGCCGGGCCGTAACGCTGGCGTTCTTATAACCGAACGGCTATTTGAGGACGTGAACCTCAGGGGGATGGAATGACGTCATCTACGGACGGAGTCATCTCGCCTGTGTTTCAAGCCGCATACATCAGCGGTGGTTCATGCATCGAGGCGGGGGAAACCAAAGCCTGCAGCCCAACGCTCAGCAAGGACAACCCTATGGGGCGCAGCTGAACTACAGACAGCGCCAACGGGGAGGCGCTGGCAGCGGTCTAGGCGGTTAGGCATTTCCACCCCTACGTGTACAGTACCGGTTATGCATAAGGCAGGGCGCCGGGACGGCAATGTGGACGGCCTCAGCCAACTATTAGGCCATCTGTTGGCAGCAGCCACCGGTGAGTCCAGCCTTGCCGCGGGGGAACCCCCGGCGGCGGGGCCCAAGCCCGAGGGGCCCGAGATGCTGAGCTATGCCCCGCCAACGGTAACGCTGGCGCCGATGGCATTGGGCGCCCTCTTCGGTGGATTCCCCGGAGGCGAGGGAGCAGCGGCACGCCGGGCACGCCGGGTTTTGTTGAGGGGGCTTACCAGGGGCTGGTGCTCCGAGATCTCATCGAGGCAGTCTATACGGGGGCGCTGGGCCCCCGCTGGCAGCCCATCTGGCGGCGCAGGTGTGCGCCCAGACTGCATGGCAGCAGCCGGGCTTGCGGCATGCGTCTCCTGCCAAGTAGCGCGCCGTGGTTGTGCTAGCGACAAGCCTAGGGTGCGGGTCTCCCATGCTTTGTTGAGGTTCTTGCTACAGGTTACTGGTATGGACTGTGGGAAGCGACTAAAAGTGCTCGAGGTTTGATAGCGGCAAACACTGTAAGCGCCTTGGCAGGATATGGTGTTCCGTATGCGCTGCTGTTTGCAAGTCACCTGGTTTAAGGTATGTAGTTGGCATACATTACAACTACCTGGGTGTTGAGGCCGTGTAGTTTGTTGGAGCGGACGTCACCAGCCAGATGCGTCGGCATGGGCCATCTACGAATACGATACAGCACAGGTTCGCTCGGTGGATGGCACCGACAGTTAACCAGCTGCTTTCGTGTTACTTGCTTTTGCCAAGAGGATTCCCCCAGAACCCATGCATCGCATTAGGTATGGTCGCTGAGGTTTGTGCAAAGAACGGGTAAAAGCCTTAGGCGTATGGGCGTACCGATAATGTGTATTGTCATTTGACTGGTGAGGCCCCTTCCTTTAGCATCGTTACATGCACGACCGCGCCTGACCCAAACGCCATTGCTCCACACAAGCAACAGCGGTTATCTAGGTGGGCTATGTGGGTGGCAACCTAGCCGGGGCTATAGCTTCCACCGTAACAGAAACGTCATTTTTGCAAAAATGCGACCAAACACTGTATCAAAGAAACATACTACGTGCTTATTACAACTGGCTTCTTTACAAGCAAAACATGCGTTGACGTCGCATGGCAGGTGCCGTACTGTGAATCCCAGGATTGCCGCGAAAGCTGTTACTTAGGCGGCCTTTCCTTATAGTCCTAGAATACTAGATTGCTGTATACCTGCTACTTGTTTACTGCAAACTCTTTTAAATGCACCTCCTTCGTGGCGGCCAACGTGCATATGCTCGACTTGGACCACGGGGGGGAGGAGGGCTTGGGCGATATGAACACCTTGAACAACACCAGCTCAACGACTCGAGGGCCTGGTCAGTTCTTGGAGGGAACACAGAAGCCGTGTGCCCTTGGAGGCAACAGAATGGCGCACCTCCACCATTTGGAAATCGTTCCCTTTCTTCATTAACGTCGGCAGTTTCTTGTTCTCCTCTGCTGGTGCGGTCCATGTGTACTTGCGTACCCTAGAGCTCGTCAGTCGATGACCATAGCCAAGACCAACGCCTAATATTGTCCTTGTGCAGTTCGCTATCGAGGACCTCAACCCTGATATGTCTTCGGGGCCGTCCATGCGAGCGTTTAAGCGGGTCGTCTGTGTGCCTTTCCAACCTTCAGTAAAGGCTACTGGACGAGCCGGACTTGAGTACAAGGTAGGTTGACATCGCATATAACAGCAACTCGTTCTACCCTATTTAAGGTCATGTCCACTTCTGTGCTCCGCCTTTGGGACCTCGCACCAAAAACCTTCCCGCCTCTCACGACGTTCCAGGTTAAGCAATTGCTGGCTGAACCGGCTTCCCGGTGCGGTCCTGCTGACGTACAAAGCCTTTTCGACCTACTCAGCCAAAACGGCTTCCATGTGGTGACGATGCAGCCCGCTGAGCCGCAAAGGCATGCTCTTTTGGTCACTCGGTCGAACCGTGCTCCCTTTCTGGTTGTGACGTCAGGTAAGAAGGGGGTGGCTCCTATGGCTTTGCGGAACGGCACACATAGTAGAATCTTGTGATTACTGTAGCATTGTGCGGTAGCACAATACTGAGCTTTATGTGGTCAACAAAGGGCTGTTGCGCCAGCCAAGGGCTGTTGCGCAAAGCAAAGATTTCAGTGCCTGCTTTGACTCGACCGTCCATCCTGATATGCCGCTGCTCTCTTTGGTACCCCGCAGAAGAGACTGGCGAGGTGGTGATTATTGACACGGCCCTGCGGGAGCACCTGGCTGTGGCGCCCTCAACCCCGGCCTACGAGCGCGCGCTTGAAGCCAACGTGCCTACGCTATTCATTGGCACGCACACGCGGCTGGCGCACCTGGTCAGCTCCATGGCCGCAGCCATCTCGCTCAACTTCACCAGCCAGGGCGTGGACGTGCCCCCCTGGCGCAGGTTGCCGGCACTGCTGTGCAGATGGTCAGTAGTGGAGGAGCACGCGCGCAGGCTGCGACAATCTGGGCAGCACGGGGGCCAGCGCCAGCAGCATGAGGAGCAGCAGCTGGCGGCGCCCGCAGTAGTAAGCCCCGCCGGGCTGCAGGGGCCAGCGGCTGCTGCTGCGACGTTGCAGGCAGGGCTTAGTCTCAATGCTGTAGGGTCAGCGGCGGCGGCGAGGCCAGCACCCGTCGAATGCCGAATCCATGGGGGGCAGCGGTCGGCAGTGGCTGATGGTGCACAGCCAGAGCTTCTAGGTGTGGAACAACATGACGCTCCCCACCTCCCGAGAAGGGTTGTGCTGGGCTTTGTAGTTGGAGCGGGCGCAGATAACCTGTCTCAGCTCAAAGCGCGCGAGGGGTGGAGCGCCAGCAAGCCGGGAGGCTTGGCCCTTATGTGCCGTCAGTTGAGCAGCAGCACGGCAGCCGGAAGCACGGAGGGTGATGAAGTGCTGACCACCTCACATGATACATGACCTGTAGATCTTGTAGAGGGCACAACAGGGCGCGACAATCAGCGCATGGCGCATTGAGGATCAGCGAGGAGTTTAGGCAGGCAGGTGCAGGGTGTGCACCAGTGTGGCGCACGTGGTGATTGGCAATTTCGTTTCCAAACAGTTCGTAAGCAGAATTGAGGTTAGCCAACTTGCGCACTTGTTCACTGTTATGAGCGCCGTGAGGGGTTTGACGTCACAGCAGCTCGGTGTTTTGTGTTTGGCCAATAATTCAGTGGCGGCTTTGTTCATACCTCGTCCACTCGCCCGCATTAGGAATTGGCCCTATTTTCTTGTCGACAATTACTCAGTCTAGTACGTTTCTGTATGTGGCCTAGTATGGTGGAGCGGTAGAGTCAACTGCATAGCATTAGGACGGTACCGTACGTGTGGTTCCCGTCGTTTCCCGCCTGGCAGCAGATGTTGGGTGACCAGGGAAGTACATATGTTGGCCAGCGTTCTTGACATTCAATGCCGGTACTCTCAAGTTTCTTTGACGCATGAGGTTTATAAAGATCAAACCGTCACGTCTTCTTTTCTTATTAGTGATGCGCGCGTGAAGTGTTATCACTGATGTTTAATCCGCTGCAGTGGTGGCCGGGGCTGGGTGCTTCTGCGCCAGGTATTACTATTTGCCTGGCTCGGAACACCCGCCCTGCAATTTTGCCTTTATTCATCGCTAGATGACTAACACTAATTTGAGCATGATAAGGATGTTTGTTTGCTGTTTCCCTTGCTTCCCAAGGTATGATAGGCATTTTGTTGTGCATACGGTATCAACGTGGGGGTTGTATGCCGCTCGCTCAGGTGATACGTCTTATGGCCACTGCGCTTGTCGTGAAGGGAGTGAAGAAGTGGAGTTGTAAACTGCCTTCAAGCAAGCTGTCCGGGCACACCAAAGCACAACGGCAAGTTCTAGTTACCCGCACGCACTTCCCTGCCTGCCACCAGCTAACATGCTACCGGTAACGTTGAGGAGGCATTAGGATACATACCCGGTTTTGCGATGGCATATTGCTCATATCTGTTGTGTGACAAAGCGCTCACCGGGGCACGTGGGGCGTATGAAAGACCCCTGACATGAAGCAAATGCGTTCATGGTGTTTGAGGCAGCGTTCGAACGGCTGGGGAGTGTGCTTTACCGTGACTCCCCAAGTCACGGGGGGTACTCCTAATTCCGAGGGTGGGCAAGCATGCAGGACTGAGGCATGATCGTGGGATTCTTGCTGTTCGTCCAGGGGCATATAACTATGGACTCATGCTTTGCTTACCAAGCCCCATGCACGAAGCACACAGCGAAAGTGCCTGCACGCGACTGTGGCATCAGTGGAAATGCCGCTTGAAACGCGGAAGCTGCTTATGCAAGTTTGGGCCTCAATACGTGCCATCTAGAAATAATCTCGTCCATACATGCCCCTGCTCAAGGGCACGTGACCACGGGCAACCGGCGGTTGGTATCTTTGTCCGCCAACTTAATGCAGGCATTGTAAGCGCTTAAGGACTACGGAAACGTGTTATGGCGCCTGATGTGTTCAGCGCGTCGATGCGTCAGGAATGCGCTGGGACTGTCGTTGGAAGCCTATGTCGTATATGTGTTTCATGGGCAGGTGTATGAGTTACGCATAGTTAATGCCACTTCCAAACTTAAAGACCGCAGCTGTTCCCACACGGTAACAGAGTCGCTTGTAATCCTAACAAGAACGGCGTCAGGTTATCACGTGTTCCTCAGCTTGATGCGACCTGTTCCCGGTCCACTTCATTAGGGTCTCTAGAACAAGAGACGCACCGCTTGACAAGTAGAGGCTAGGTCTTCACTCTCGGCTTGGACATCTGGGCTAGAGCGAATGAGCGACGACTCTTTACGCGAAGGCTTTAGACACGTTTAATGAAAGCGGATACCCTATACTTACAAGAAACTACACAATGGACAATGGAGCATCCGTCCCTGGGCTCCATCCCGCAACGGACCCGAAAGCGAACGCGTCGAACAGTCCGTCGGCCTCATCCCTTGGCAGCAGCCCACGATCGGATGAAAATCTATCACCAGAAGCATCCTTCCTTACGCAGGTGCAGAACCCTGCGTTCATACCGCGCCTCCATGTCTCGCCTTTGCATGCATGGATTCGCATGTTCGCGTCTGTGCTTGCAGTTCCCCATTGACGGCATTCCACTTGTGACGACGTCGCGTGATGCGGCACTGGCCTTCAGACGGGTTGTGTGCATTCCCTTTCAAGCTGCTGTGAACGCAGCTGGTCGGACCGTCCTGGAGTGTAAGGTAGGACAGGGCGGGGTTCTCCGTAAGCCACGGACCGGTTGCAGCTCGCTGTGCCCCCTAAGGCTAGCCTACTCCATGGTCCTTGGACCCTTGCCTGTTGCTTCCGCATCAACCCATGGGCTCGCTCGCCTTCTGCAGGTCAGAAAATTGCTTGCAGGAGCGGTGTTGCGGCATGGACGGCCTGAGGAGCAAACCATGATCTCCCACCTGTCCGCAAATGGTGTGCAAGTAGTCCTGACGCAACCGGCCAAGCCGGACAAACAGTCACCCCTATTTACACGGTCGATTAATGCTCCTTTCCTGGTCGTAACATGCGGTGAGCTTAGGGGCGGGGCTTCCTGTGGGTCAGAGCTCAGAGACTCTCCCTTCGAGGCTGGAGCCATTTCTTGGTTCTGCTGAAGCTGCTTTCGCTCACACGCTACACTGGCTGCTCTATGTACGACTGTAGCTGCGGCTGGTTCGTTGCCGGTAGTCAAGCTAGGAAGCCCAGGCCACTCCATCGTCCACTAGAAGCCGCATGCAACCCTGTGTTGCCGCTTGCTGCCTCCATCCCTCCTTTGGTACCCCGCAGAAGAGACTGGCGAGGTGGTGATTATTGACACGGCCCTGCGGGAGCACCTGGCTGTGGCGCCCTCAACCCCGGCCTACGAGCGCGCGCTTGAAGCCAACGTGCCTACGCTATTCATTGGCACGCACACGCGGCTGGCGCACCTGGTCAGCTCCATGGCCGCAGCCATCTCGCTCAACTTCACCAGCCAGGGCGTGGACGTGCCCCCCTGGCGCAGGTTGCCGGCACTGCTGTGCAGGTGGTCAGTAGTGGAGGAACACGCGCGCAGGCTGCGGCAGTCTGGGCAGCACGGGGGCCAGCGGCAGCAGCATGAGGAGCAGCAGCTGGCGGCGCCCGCAGTAGCAGGCCCCGCCGGGCTTCAGATTGCAAGCCAGCAGGCGGTGAACCCAGCAGCGGCTGCGACCGCGCAACCTCCACGGCACTTGCACTCCTTGCAACAATGCGTAGCACGACACTCCTTGGCTTTGCACCCTAGAGTAAAGGTGTGGGGCTTTGCGGTCGGCGCCCAAACCGGCGAGCAGCCCCAGCAGCCACCACGGGTGGCGCATAAGCAGCAGATGAAGAGCGAAGCAAAGCCCGGTGGGCTGAGCATCCTGTGTCGGCGGCAGCTGGGCAGCAGCATTAGCACGGTGGACAGCAGCCTCAGCAGTGAGCTTCTGGGCACGTCGCCCGTTTGCGTGTTGGACGGCGGTCGAGCGGGGTGAAGGCGGCGGACTAGGGGACGGAGATGCTGTGTGAGTGCTGAGTGGGACGAGTCGCCTAATGCAATTGATACATGGGCGATTGGGGCAGGATTCGTGCAGGCGATCATGGTCGAACGAGTGTTGCGTAGAGGTGCAGCTAGGCTGGATGTCGAGTGGTGTGGGATTGTGCTGCTGTAAGCAGCCGCGCGCCATTAATAGTTCCCCTCGGCGGTTTGAGGTAGGGATGGGCATGGGAGTTATGGGGACGCTGTGCCCCGTGAGTGCATGTACGAATAAGACACAGTGCAGCTTGTATTGTATTGCCCAGCAGATGCCTGTGTATTTGTATTCCTCTGTAGGCAATTAGGCACGCAGACGGGTGCATGGCTAGGACTGCACCCGTTATTAACTGGCTTAGTTATTGTGTAGGATTTAGGATTAGCGTATATCTGTGCTGCAGGCGGTTTTCAGCACTGTATGACCCACGACGACGGCATTGCACAAAACATTGCGTTTAGTTTACGAGCGTGTAGGTTGATTGACGGATCGTGGAGGTGTTGCCGGTGCAGCGCCCGCAATTCATTTGGGCTCGGCCCTAGCTAGGCTCCATCCCCGTCCTGTGTGCTAGCGCGGATGGAAAGCCAGGCTTCAGACCTTAGGAGCTGTTCCTGAAGGGGCTAGGGGTGTGTTTGGGGAGGCTGGCTTTGCATGTCATCTGAACAAACATCCTTGTACATTTCCTGGCCTTCACGGAAAATCCATACCACTCTGTGCATGGTGCTGGCTGAGATGCTATACAACGTAGTAGCTGCGTTGGTTTATTTTCATCGACGGTTTCAAGCGTAGTACGAGTATCCTTTTTTGCAATTTCGTAATCAATCACGGAGATTGTGGTATAGCCGCGGTGTTCAGGACTATTTGCCGGTGGAGCCTCAGGGTTGTGAGAGGCTTGAAGCAAGAGACGTGAGAGTTCCATGCATCTCAGAGGAATTCATCCTGAAATGGGTGGCACTATATTGTACATGTACTACAGTATGCGTGTAAACACTTTCGTATCGCCACGACCGTCGTGCAGAATTGTACCTTACCGCGACGGATAGGCATGCATGCCCCATCTCGGGCGGTTGCTGGCCGCAGACCCATGGGTCAGTCGGGAGATTCCTCAGGTCCGATCAGGCACTAGTCGCACAAACCTTAGGCACACTGCTGCTTCCAGGCAGCTATGATTCATCCTGTTGCCATGAAATTGATGCAGTGCCCTAGGGAAGAGGAATCAGCGTGGCCGGGATTTTCACGGAGACACTAGAACGAAGGCAAGCGGAAGGTCATAGCGAGTGACATGCGCACATGCCCCTACAAGACAGAAGGCGAGAAGCCGGGGCACTCCTAGCCTGGAGCACAACTAAGTTCCACGTGCCCGGCTCTCGCTGGAATCTGCCATGCCAGCATGCCCTTCCGTACGTCTTAACGTCCCGTATGTTAACATAACTGGCCGCGAGGCGTATGTGCCCGTATCTTACATGTCTCAGCGTTTTGGCTACGTCCTACACGGCAAGCGCACAACGCCACTCACGGCAACAGCCCTAGCCAACATGTCGAACCAACTTCTGGTATGCGGCCTGCGCCTCTGGTCTGGCCCTTCAGGTACATGACGCGCCTCATTAAGATGTGCGCCCCTCACACAGAAAGCCAGCATGCCAACCAACAAAGCCCCATCAGGGGCCCCAAACACACGGTATCCTGACCAACTGAGCAATTAACCGGGAGAGCGCCCGGCATCGCCTGTGAACAATGTCATTTGTACAGTCTTCCGCGCAAGGGTGACGAAAGGGTGCGAAAACACACACGCATGGGAGTATACAAGGGCTCCCCGCACAGCCCACGGCAACAACTGTACATGATATGCAACTCCGAGCCCTTTACAAGCCACCAACCGTGCCACTTATTCCAACGACAACAAAATAAAGGAAACAAACGGGAATTTTGCCTCGAGCCTAACGGTACATGGTTTAAAGAAACTAAAGATTGGAAAAATACAAATGCTTGGCAAGTCCAGGAGGACTGGACAGTGCCGGCAAGTCGTGCAACAGGAAACGGCCTTAACAGCATCAGTCCTGTTATCAATTAATTCTTACCCTTTATGCAATCCCGCATGCACGGGTGCGTATTGTAACGGCTTGAAATGCGTAAGAAACACAAAGCAACATCTTCTCGACTGAACCTACACCTAATCAGCATGACACCGAGCCTAGCATAGCCCTACCCATATGCCTGGACATCAATCCCACCGATTCTTATTCTCGGCCTCAATCCCTCCCTTACCCTCTACTTCCACCCCCGCTCCGATCCTAGATCTCGTACATGTACCACTCCTCCGGCTCCGCCAGACAGTTGCGGGAGGAGAAGCCGGGCGTGTACTCACACACCTTGCCGGCCTCGAATGTCCTCACGCGCCGGATGGGCGGGCAGTACAGGTGCAGCGTGCATGACAGCGCGGGCTCATCAACGTCCCCGCCGCTCTCAGCGGCAGCCCTGCCGTTGCCGCCGCTGCCACGTGCACCCTTGCCGTACTTGCAGCCCCCTACGGAGTGCAGCGCGATCCGGTCGTTGATGTAACCCACGTCACCCGCCTGCACACGGAATGGCATTGCAAAGGGACCACGTAGTAGATCTAACCTAAGTACCTAACACACGTGTCTGAGGGTACGGCTAGAACGCCTGTCCCGGGCACTCAAATGAGCTGTATTAACGCGCCTTGCTTGTAAGGTTGTAACCCAGCGCCGCGCCCCGCCCCGCCCTCACCCTACTCCCGCCTCCCCACCTGCATGAGGGTGCTGGAGGTGGGCACCAGCCGTACGACGGCCCCGCCCTCAGAGTTTCTGGTGAGGAAGCTGCCGTGCGGTACGGCGCGCAGCTGAGCATCCGGCGCGAGTGGCTGGTACTGCGTCTCGCACACTTCGCCGTCTAGCACCGCCAGCCAGCAGTGGCTGTGGCACGCAAGGCGGGATGTGGTGGGCACTCTGGTTGTCAAACACACGCTGGTGGTAGATTGTGGCCATGCGCTTTGTGCGGTGAGGTGGAAGCTAGGGTTGTTGGCATGCGGCGTGTGGCGATAAGCGGTTGGCGTGTGGGGCACGCAGGTGTACACTGGCAGCTAGCAGCTGACATGGGCGGGCCAGGACGTGAGATACAGCAGCACGGAGTGCAGCCGCAGCTGAGTACCGGTATCAGCAGGAGATGCCGCAGCAAGAGATGCCGTACGTACCTGTCCGCATGGTTGTGAACGCGGCTGGTTTGGTCGCCCTTCCAGCACAGCACCTGCGGCCGTTCAGGCAAGGTCGTAGGCAAGATCGCAACCAGTTACAAGCACACGGCGGTGTCAAGACGAACAGGCACCATGCGTGTCTTGCAACACAGGGAATATACAAACCTCCTTGCCTTCCTCACCCCGTGGCGTCACTACCGGTAAACTCTCACCATGAGTTCAAACTCCTCCGCGGTCCACAGCAGGTGCCGCAGGTAGCCGTGCTCGCTCCAAGCAGCGTAGCGCCGCCAGTCGCCGCAGTTGCCCTGGCTGTAGGCCTGCGGGGAGGCGTAGGGAGTGGCGGGGGCAATTGCGGCAGGTCGGCACGCTTACCAGCAGCTGAGGCTTCTACCGAGTGGACATTACTGGAGAGGAGTACGAGGAAAGAGACCCGCGGGCATGTGCTGGAGTGCCAACAGGTTCAGCACGCGTGTGGGCGTGCCCAGTAACGCTGTGTAGAAGCGAACATCCGTTGGCAAACAAAGAGCTAGGGTGGGAAACGTGCGCGCATGCCATAGGCATACCACCCCTTGACCAAGCCGGAGATACTGGAGTCATGCAAGGGGTTTATCCTGGCTCTTGCCCTTCCCGTCAACATCCAAAGGGGAGATGAGGTGCTATCTTCCACGCTGGCCCCCAACGCTCCCCCAACGCTCCGAACCGCGCTGCACTGGACCTCGCTCACCTGGAGAAGGGAATGCACACGTGCGTTCAGGCGGTTAAAAGATTGGGGGTCCTGCCGGTTGTTGAGCACGTTGCCGGCCGCCAGCTCAGCCTTGAAGGCCAGCGTTAGCTCCGTCACCAAGGTGCAAAGGTCCCGAGGCCATGAATTAAAACCGGTGATGGAAAAAAGATCTCCACTTGAATGATCAGAATCCTGTCGCAGGGGCCGGTGTGTTAGGGTCAACATCGACGTTCGCAACAGCAGTTGGAACAACTTCTTCAAAATGCAGAGGATAGGCATATTACTCACCGTTAGATCATTTTCGCTAAAAATATTGTTTTCGTTGAGCGCATTGGGAGGGGTCCACGAACAGGAACTCAGCATGGTGCGTTGGCGAGAACCCTAGTCTGACCAGCACACCCTTATGCTATCGCGATTTGGCAAGGCGCGTAAGGGATGAAGGATTTATTGCAAGAACCGTTTTAATCTTTGCGTGCGGTACCCGGTATCGGTAGTTGAAAGTCGCTTGGCAAGGTGAGAACAACTGTCGAATTGTGGAGGAGCTGCTGCATAAACTATAAGCACTGGTACTGTTGAGGCGTCACAGCAGTCATACGACGGAAAGTATTCTTTGATGACTGATGATCCCACCTACATGCGTGGGCATCGTCCATTTCCAGGTCATCCTTGTACTTCTGTGGTTCTATGCTAAACGGTGCTTTGCGGTTTAATGTGTGCATTGAAGCCTGTCGAATTGTTTGTGCCCCTTCGTGCGCGCGTATTATGCATACGTCAAAGCAGCATCGGTGATACCGTACAGGTACTCCCTATCCCAGCCCGAAGACACATCGCAACTCAAAAGCGGCAATGCCAGTTTTCTAAGTGTGGCATTTGGCTTCCCCTTTATTCCAGGCAGTCCGCGAGGCCGACGCCGTGGGCCGCATGCAAAGCAATGTATGCATGCCAACGCACGGGCAGGCCGTGAGATCGCTTCAGTCCGGTTGTTCGTTAAGTGGTGGCGTTTTGGAAAGGGAGCGAGCATGGGAAGCACCTGCTCTGGTTGTGGCAATGGCCTCACACGGGGCTGTACAGTGTACGAACCCAGCCGCTGGTACACAATCCCTTACATGCTGTTAAGGATCCCTCCCGCAAGCCGTTCCACCTTGAACTGCCCATAAAGAAGACAGCCTTCTCGTAGCCATTCTTGCACCTGGTTACTGCCGGTCACAGGGACCAGTCACAATCGCGGCGTCAACGAAACCCTAGATCCAAATAATTGCTGGCCACATCTCTTCTTGATAACAAAATTGCAATAATTGTGAAGGCATCCACGCAAGGGGCTCAAGACACTGACAAACCTGGCATCGGGAATGCTTGGAGGAAGTGGAGAAAACTTGGCCGTAACACACCTGGTGACCACAACCCCAAACCCCTCGTTATTCAAATGCATTATGCAAGATCGTCTGCGTGACGCGAAGCGAACACCGCACTTACTACAAGGAGGTGTCCTGTTCCATGCTACCCTCTCAACCGTTTCTTAAGCCCCTCAAAGATTATACATACGCATGCCAGCTCACTCCCAGCATAACGCTAGCTCTAATGTCAGCCCCAACTCATACCCCTTTGCTTACGCTTGCATCTTCCTCAACCTCTCCGCTCATTCAAATCTCTTCCAGAATGCTCTTGGCAATGAGGTACACGACCAGTAGGAACACGCCCGACACAGCCGCGTTCTTGGCCGTGTCCTGAATGCGTTCTTTCAAGGCCCGAAGGGCCGCCGTCGTACCAATGATGACACCGGACACGCCGACCAGTCCCATGGCCGACAGGATGAGGAGCTTTGTGTTCTGATCAATTGGCGCCTGCATGGGCACCGCAAAGGGCAAGGGCTCGTTTACTCCGTACCACCACACGATGTTTAGCCGACTCGTCCCCTACAGCGCAGCGGCACATGCACAGCAACAGTCTGCATTGCATCAAGTCTGCGCGCCGGTACGACTCCGCACCTGCAGCAGCTCTCTGCTCACAGCGTTCTCACCCGCGTCGGTCACCAGGTCCAGCACGATGCCACCCACGGCACCCGCCAGGGCGACAAGGCCAGCTAAGGTGAGCGGAGAGAACTGCCGCCGACCAGGCTCGCCCGGCTTGCGGAACTTAACATCGCCCGTTGCCACGAACTGCTTGACGCCCGCCTCGCCGCCAGCGAAGCCGCCAGCAACTCCCGCTGCAAGCCGAAAGGGTGAAGCGGTGGACGTGCGAGGGGATGAAGCAACGCCGTACGGCCATGTCCAATCCGCGCTTACAGGCATGCGGTGACGCGTTAGACAGATGGAGCCGCAGCAAGTTCCCGGTGTTGGCATGATAACGGGAAACATCTGAAACCCGGCAACGGAAGCCCCAGCATGGCACCCTACACCCGTCAAAGCAACTTGACGTACCCAGTAGGCCAATATCCTCCTTGCCAGGGTACTTGCGGGGATCTGCAAGGACAGTTGACAAGTAAAGACACGGCACGCACAGCTAGCGGTCGAGGAGGAGCTTACCGTCAACGAGGACACGACCCTTCGCGCCGCTCTTGCGCAGGTCAATCTCACTGCGGGCGGCAGCCGGTTGCTCAGTCAAGGAAAACATGGCTAAAGATGTGGTGGTCCAAGGCGAACGTATAAGTGGCCATCGGCAAGGACATACATGCGCGGGACGCGTGTTGGACCAGTGAAACAATAAGGACAAAGCAGGGTATGGGTAAGCAAAGGCAGGGAGCGCCCAGCGCCCGTGACTCACTCCTTGTTGAAGCCCACATAGATGACCTCCTTTCCCGGGGGAGGCTTGGAAGGCACAGACGCAGCCCTGGAAGGAGGCTTCGCCGCCGCCTTAGGGGCCTCTTTCTCTTTCTGTATGCGTGCAAGGGCGCATTAGAGTTTTGCGCTGCTAGCAACGCATTGCAAATGCTATGCGGCAGCAGTAACCCACGCACCTGCGCCTTCACCTGCTCCCTCAGCTTCCAAAGCCCCGCCTCGCCGCCAGCCCAGCCTCCTGTACCCCACTCATCACGGCTGGGGTACTTCCGTGGATCATCCTTAATGACGCGGCCCTTGCGCCCCTCGCGGGAGCCGAAACCATCCTCCTTTTGGAAACCGATGTAAATGTCTGCAAGCTGCGCGCCGCTGTTCGCAGGCCCCTTCGCACCCTACACCACATAGCGCTTTTGGTCGGGAACGAATGCAAGCACTACATTGTAGCAAGCACGGGCAGCGCTGCCGTTGCGCAGACTTTTCACAACGTGTAGGCCGAGAAAAAAGACAGCGACATGCAGCAACCCCTGCCTCGGCCAACAACGATGCGTTGTAAGAGCGCTGCGAATGCGCTTTTTATGCATGCTTGCGAGGCATGTCCAGCCAGAAGGCGGCCTACGTGGGTGCTGCGCTAAGAACATCGTCCCGAGTCGCTATCTAAGCAGGATCAAGATGGGTGGCAGATCCTTCCACAGTATGAGCCCACCTGCTGAGCAGCTGCTGTTACCAGATGCTGGCCACGTGAAGGCCGCAAGTTAAGGCAGGATGCGTTACTGACGCGTTTGAGAACAGTAGATTCCATTTTTGCGGTCGCGCTGCACAATAAAGCTATAAACAAATGACAACAGAAAGGATTAGCATAGGACTACCACATCATGAAGTACGATGAAGTACTGCAGTGAGACCCCAAAGGGCACAAAAACATGAAAATTTGCGCAGGATACCTTGCATGTGGTCTTATATGCTAACCGTTATACATGCCTCTCAGTCCATACTCGGTACGACATTGTCTTTAAACTGACAGCTTCTTAGTTTAGGGCATTCTGAGCACAGCCGAAGACGCTTGTACCTGCAGCGCTAGAACATCATACGCTTACTGCTTCTGCGTTCACGGAACTCTCTTTCCTTATCAACGTCGGCACCTCAATAGATTTTAACAACCCCCTCCGCGCGTGGCCTCGGTTGCTGCGCGCGGCCCGCGTTGGTACCCATGGACTTCTGGACAAAAAATTTGCGGGGCGGAGACAACGGCGTCACGCCCCGCCAGAAGCCGAAGCCTGGAAATGTTCCTACATCCGCTCAAGCCGACAAGGCAAGAGCTGACAGGGTCCAGATGCCTAGTGCTCCAGCATGGCTTGTGAGCACAAAGGTACAAAAGATAACAGCATTATCAATACGGACCACTGACGCTTACCATCATGTCGCTGCAGCCTCCTTTGCGCGTCCCTGCTCCATCGAGCATGCGCAAGCTGCCTGCCTTGTCAGGAGATTGCTCAGAAAATAAGCCGGACTCGCCTTCAAAGGCGGCAAGCATCGATGGAACGGAGGACGGGACAGAGGATTTCGAAAACGACTCTGTTCGGGTACGTGCAGCTACACGCAGACACCGGCTTAAGAAGCTCTTTTTGCGAAAAACCTATCATTGACACAGGTTTTCGTGCGAGTCCGCCCACCAACGGAGCAGGAGCTCGCAAGCGGTGCGTATCATCATCTGCATGAGCGGTTACCATCAATTGTTTCAAGAATTTGTGGCCGACCCATTACGTTATATTGCATACGCAGACAAACACGAGCAGTGCCTCTCGGTCATTGGAAGCCGGACGCTACAGTTAATGGTGAAGGATAAGGGTAACAGCACGCACCGCTTCATGTTCGATCAGGTCCTTCCGGAGGACACCCCGCAGCAGGACGTTTTCGACCGTAAGTGGCCGTCAGCTATGGCTTGACGTGGGCTATTGGTACTAGCAACACCCTAACATTACCTATCTCGTATGGGTTAGGGGAATCACGTAGCATGTAAGGGAGTATGCGCATGCCTTACCCCTTCAATTAGTTCATTGGTGGGCGAGTACCAGCAGGCCGTGAATGAATGACCGTTACAATGGTTCCCTATAAGGGAACACGGGTGATGGACATGTAAACATGAAAACCCCAATTCCCTGTCCCACCTTGCCAGTTGCGGGCCTCGTCGCGGTGGACAACTGTCTGGCTGGCTACAACTCTTCCATATTTGCGTATGGCCAAACCGGTGCTGGCAAGACCTTCACAGTGATTGGCCAGCTCACTGACTCCGAGAAGCGGGGTCTGGCACCACGTGTGTTTGAGTACCTGTTTGCGAAGATTACGGATCACGAGAACGCACGCGGTCCAGACACGGTGAAGTACAACTGCAGATGCTCTTTCCTGGAGATCTACAACGAGACGATCGCCGACCTTCTGTGCCCTTCCTCGAGCAACCTCCCTATCCGCGAGGACCCTGAGAAGGGTCCTTACGTGGACGGTCTCTCCGAGCCCCCGGCCCTGAACGGTAAGCGCCACCCTGAGGCACGTTGCTGGAAGCTGTCCACAGCTTTAGCATCCTCCCGCAACGGAAATGACTAGAATGGGAGTACGTGCCATGCATGGGCGCAATAATGTGGGGTTTATTTAGGCAATGCCATCCAACGCGTCAACATGACCTAACCTTGCCATCTCCCGTTTGCAGTGGACGAGATGCTGCAGCACCTCATGAAGGGCGCCGAGAACAGGCACACGGGCGAGACTCGCCTTAACCGCGAGTCTAGCCGGTCGCATTCGGTGTTCATGTGCACGGTTGAGAAGAACGTCACCAGCAACGGGATCAACAAGTGCTTCTACGCCAAGCTTAACCTTGTGGACCTCGCAGGTAAGGCATCCGTGTCCCATATCATACTGTTGTTACGTGACTTTGGGGTCACCGGGAATACCATGATGTATTACCGGGACATATGCGCAATTCCACCCTTAATTTCCACGTGCGGCCCTGGTGCATGAAGCCTTTGAAGCCGAATTAGGAAACCTGACGGCTTAAACGGCTTCTATTGCAGGAAGCGAGCGCATTGCAAGCGGCGCTCATGGCGGCAGCAACGCAACTGGTGAGCACTTCAAGGAGGCTTGCCACATCAACAAGTCGCTAACGGCTCTCGGTCGCGTGACAACGGAGCTCGTCAAGTCACAGAAGAGCGGCGGTGGTGGCCACGTGCCGTACCGCGACTCCAAGCTTACATTCCTCCTGCAGGTTAGCGGGGTTCGGATGGTGTAGTGCCGTGCATACGAGGTTGTTGCTGTGTTGTGATGTTGCATAAGCGCACAATGCACCTTGTGCCCACGACGGATCAGGGAGGAGGGTGCGCCTAGGTACTCCTTATAAGGCGACTGACGCGGCCTCTCTTCTCCATTGCAGTCGTCACTCGGAGGTAATGCGAAGACGCTCATCATAGCCAACGTCAGCCCCAGCGCGATATGCGCACAGGAAACGCTCAGCACGCTTCGGTTTGCCAAGCAAACCAAGCACATCCGCAACGACGCGAAAGTCAACTGGACGGTTCAGGGTGATCGGCTTGCCATGCAGCGCGAAATCGAGCGCTTGCGCATGGAGTTGGCCAGTGTTCGCTCAGGCGTCGCGGAGCCCCTCGTGCAGGCTAATGAAGAGCTATCCTCTCGGCTAACTTCGTAAGTAGCCTATACGTTTGCTGGCCTATACATTTCTCCTAGCCACCATTTTTGCGCTGTCGTTGACCTTCGTGTGTGTTGTAACTCCTTCCGTTGTTCGTTGTTGCCAAGTACAAGGACGAGTAGCAGTTTTCCGCCTCATGCCGTCCTCACGATATTAAAGGCGAAGGTCCTTAATCATATGCGGTCATCCGCTTAGCATACTGCCATAAAGAGCATTGCTCGCCTGGGGCGGCCGTCTATCATTGTTGGCGTTCTATTGTCCGGATTTCCCGTGATGTCCGATGCGACAATATCCCTTTTCAATTGCGTGTACAGGGCGCTGCAATACGGGGAGGAGCTGCGGCAGGAGCGCGATCGAGTGCTCAACGCACTGAACCAGATGCGCCGTGAGTATCGGGTGCTAGACCAGCGGCTTGTAGGCCTTGCCGCCATCAGCGGAATGGACGGAAGCAGGGGCGCTGGCGCTTTGGCAACCGTTATGGATGAGGTGAGTCCCCGTCGTCCAGACATGTAGTTTCAGTCTTGGACTCTAGTCGTCGCATGCTCCTAAGCCACGCCCTTTCCGTACAGATTGAGGCAATCGACGCCACGTCTTCCCAGCGCCTCCTGGAGAGGATTGAGTGCGAGCAGCACATCCTTGCCATCCAGCGCCAGATGGAAGAGGATATGCGATTAAGGCTGGTGGAGCAGCTGCGCGCTTCAGAGCAGGGCCGCGAGCTCGCTGTGCTTAAGGTACGTGACCCGCTAACGCCCAGCAGCTTTGGGATGTCGTTCAGCCTACCAGGCGGCAGGCGCCTTCCCGGGTTCCATTTTGTCGCGCTCTTGGGCTCAGCTTACTAGTCACTTTGACTCGTTTCCTTGCTGCATGCAGTGCGATGACCTAACCTCTCAGCTGGCGGCGCTGGTCAAGGAGAAGAGCGATCTAGAGGAGAGCTGCAGCGTCCTGGCCGACAACTTTTCGCAGGCGGGCGCCAAGATTAGCGAGCAGAAGGAGCAGCTGGAAGCTCAGCAGGCCGACCTAGTAGAGGTCAGGCTGCGCAAACAAGAGCTGGAGCAGCAGCTGGAAAGCAAGGGCGCTGAGCTCGAGACGGTGAGAAGTAAATTGATCGTATTCATTGCTTTGCCGTGGAACGCAATGCCTGCGCAGTCACACCCTCTCCTAACTACACATAGCCGCCGTACAGTTTCTTGTCTCAATAACCATACCGCTTTCCTGACTGCATGGCTGTCACACTGGCCTTCGCAGGCGGGGCAGCAGCTATTGGAAACGCGATCCAAGCTTAGCGCTACGATCGAGGAGGCTGAGCGCGCAGTTGCGCACGCGGCTGAGCTGCAGGCGCTTCTCGACGACAAGCAGGCAGAGCTTAGTCAGCAAGGAAGCCGCATGGAGGGCTTGACACGGCAGTTGGAGGGCGCTCTGTCCGAGGTCCAACTGCTGCAAGGATGCTTGGCTGAGGTAAGGCTGTACTAAAGGCTGTGTGTGGTCTTTTGAAGGAGAGACAGGGTTTCTTTCAAGGAGTGAGGCTGGACATGTGCATGCACATGAATATGTGCCGGTCCTTCAGCGATGGCCTTATCAGTAGCCACCGTCATAATCACTAGTGGTGCGTACGCATGCCTTCACAACGGTCCACCGCAACCAGTGTAAATCCGGTTCTTTGTTTGTCGGCTTGCAGGCCCAGGAGCAGCTGGTCCAGACTCAGCATGAGAGCAGGGCTTCGAACAGCGAGCTCTTGGACCGCATCGCCCAACTCTCCAGCGACCTGAAATCGCTCGAGGAGAAGGCGTTCCAGGACAGCACTGCTATAGAGGAGCTGCAGGGCAGCGCCACCCTCCGGGAGCAGCAGCTGGCTGAACTTGAGGAGCGGCTGCAGAAGAAGGAAGCTGAGTGCGCGGCGGCCTTCGAGCGCTTGCAAGCTACGGAATCAGACCTTGTGGCGCAAACTGAGGCGCGCAGCACTGCCGACTCGGAAGTTGTGTCGCTTTCGGCCCAGCTGGCAACATTGCAGGAACAGTTCACTGCCAGTCAGGCCCGTTTGGCTGCGCAGGATGAGGAGATCCAGCAAAGCAAGCTCCGAGTTGCGGCATTAACGGGCGAGCTTGAGGCCAAGGCAGTGGCCGTTTTGGAGGCAACTGGGCGCGCCACAGCAGCGGAGGAGGAGGTAGCGAGCTTGGCATTCCGCGCGCAAGCGCTCGAAAGCAGCGCTGCCGAACAGACTCTTGTTCATTCGGCAACGGTGCAGGCCCTGCGCGAGGCGGAAGGGACCGCCCGTGAGTTGGAGGCCAAGGTTGAAGGCATGCAGGCGCAGCTGCAGGCTGCGCAAAGCGAGCTCCAGGCGAGCGAAGGACGGGCGGAGGAGCTGTGCAGCAAGGTTACGGCGATGGAGGCGCGTACGGCAGACCTGGAAGCGCAGCTGCAGCGGCAAGATGCGCTGGTGGCGACGCAAGCGGCTGGAGTCCAGGTGGGAATGCAGCTGTGTTTGGCTTAGGAGTGCTCAATTGCTTACCTCTCGGTTTAAGCGTTTGGCTTGCTTGTGGTCTAACCTAGACATACTTGAATGCAGGAACGTGTAGCGGCAATAGCTTTGCTAGAGTCCCGCATCGCTGAGGTTGAGGCCGCGAAAGCATCCCTAACCGACCAGCTAGAGCAGGAGCAGTCCAGCAGCGCCACTCTTCGCAGCACGCTTGTGCAAAGCGAGGCATGCGTTGCAGAACTGCGCGAGCAGCTACAGCAGGTAGGGCTGATCCCTGGGTACGGCTATCCTCTCGTTAGTTGATTACTGGTTGTCTTGCCAGCACTCGGTAACTGATTACCTGTCTTGCCAGCACTAGTAATTGATAACTGGTTGTCTTGCCGGCACTATAAGAGATTCCTTGGCGTCACTAGCAGTGTCAATGTACCCCTCAGGAGCAGTCCCGGATGCACAATACACTCCGGGAGATGTCTGGGAACGCTGTAGCGGCGCAGCACCAGATTGCTGAGCTGGAAGAGCAGCACCTGCATGAAGTCCAGCAGCTGAAGGACGAGCTTGACAAACGCAGCAACGAGCTAAAGCAGTGAGTCCCGTCAGAGCTGCCACAACATGTAAGACCCCTAGTTCCGCTGCGATACCTGCCTACGTTGCGGTACCTACTCCTTGCAGGCGCGACCAGGAAATGGTGCGCACCAACTTTGCGCTCAAAGGAGAGATCGACCGGCTCAAGTCATCACTTGAACAGGCGAAGCGTGACTCGGCCACCGGAAAGGTTAGTAAACCTGCAACGGCCCGTCATTGCTGCAACTCATGGGATGTTCATGCGGGGTCGACTTCAACTTTGTACATGCATGCTGCTTCCTTTGTAGGCGAATCAGGAGCAGCTGGTCGCATCGCACCAGTCTATGATTGCCGGCATGAACGAGAGGCTGTCAAAGCAGACCGAGCGGTACAACGAGCTTAGCAAGGTGTGTTGAACTCAAGCTCTCCCCGTACATATCGTGTGTGCCAGTACCAGCTCCTGGGATACCAGTAGACAATATTTTTTTTACATCAGGAATCGTTGCCATAAAAACCCTACAGAAGTACGATGCGCTCAAACAGCAACTGGACCAGGCGCAGCGCGAGGTGGAGTCGTGGAAGACTAAGTCGGAGCGCCTTGACCACGCAATGGCTGACGTCACTCGCCTCATCCGATTCGCCCGCAACCCGCCCGACTCAGCCCGTTCCTCGCTAATCATGTGAGACGATTACGGGTACGCGTTTGCCTTACTAAAGTAGAGCCTAACCGAGGCGTCCACGAATGCTGCAGGAACCGCAACGAGCACGTCTCTCCGAACCTTGATGGGCAGCGCTGGACTACGATTGGTGCCTCAGGCTCCCGCACAGGGGCACCTATGCCGCCATCCCCGAACTCACTATGCATCCGCATCTCAGAGTCTCCAGCGGAGTCACCACGCAGGTCAATGAGGTGAGCCACGCTCAGCGCATTGGGTTACCATCACTATGCATATGCTGACGCGCATCCAATCGCTGTGCAGCCGGTACTCTGGCGTCAGTCCCGCCGGCTCTAAGGCAGGCAGCGTCAGCATTCCGCAACGCATCAATGGTGGCGGCGAGGACGGAGAGGAGTGGGGAAGCACGCGGCGCATGCTCGACGTCACCAGCCCAGGAGACCAGTTGCCCATTCCCGATGCCGATGAGTAGCAGGAGTGTTAGCGCCAGTTCGCTAGATCAATGTATGATTCCGTATGTTCGATGTCAAGTTGTCGTTTCTACATGCTGGCTCCTTAAGCACTTCCAAGCAGGGTTTTATGAGCGCCTACCACGAGCATTGTCGTGTGCGCTCCACAAGATGTAGAGATGAACTCATGGCATGCATGGCTAGGATAACCGTAACGCATTGACTGCTGGCTTGGAACCAGGCGTCGTGGGCATATTACGACCCATGGGGCGCTACGAGTCGTCCGCGTCATAAGCACCCTCCTGGTCGCCCCTCTCCTGTAGAAAGGGATTAGCGATTTCCTCCATGCCCGTAGAAGGTGCGACGAGCATGACAGCCGTGCCGCGGCATACCTGCGCGATAGGAACTTGCAGGTCAGGCCTACTTGCTACCTATTAACTGCACTTGCTTGTTTTTTAAAGCTTACTAGCAGGCCAAGAGCACGTGTCTCGTCGGTGACCGTCAGCGGGTCATCGGGGTCTGCGAAACGGGCAGAACGCTGTTCAGTATACAAACTAGTACGCAATACCTCAGTTTCGCAGATGCCATAATACCTACCGCGTAGATACTCCACTGCCTCATCCAGTACCAAGTTCAGCAGCTGGTCGTAGCCTTTCAGGACTCCTTGCACTGCGCCCCGAACGGAATTAATGAGCTCCTTGGGGGTTTATGGCTAGCATAAACGTGTAAAATGCTTTGCTTAAGCACCTTCTCTTCCTCCGGCAAGCTTTACTCGGACTCCTTTATCCACGAACTTCGCCAGGTCTACCGCCGACTCCTTCGTCTTGGCGGCCATTCTTATGAGCGATCGTTAAGTTTGTTCATAAAGCTGCTTGAAGGAGCTGCAAAGAACTGATAGCTCACAGGGCGTGGCGCGCCTGGTTTCGTACGGATTGGAGCGGGTATTTAGGAGGATTCCTGGACACAGCCGCGATAGAGCATATATCTCAGTATATAACTGGTGTCGCAAACAGCATGCAATATACTTTTTCTTTCTCTGCATGCTTATGACGTTTAGGTGGTAGTCGTTGCAGCGGAGGATGAAAGCAACATGTCACAATAGTGCTTTGCCTACTGCCTTGACATGGCGAAAGGGGCATTATGTTGGTGGTTCAGCACTTCAACATTGCAACTATGCGCGCTCACGACGACGCAGCATCTTCGCAGCCAGCAGCGTGTCCGTTGGAAAAACAATACCACGATCAGCAATTAGACGGACGTCAAGCGATTGTTCGGTCGTCGTGCATGACCTACGTCTCCGGCTGGGGCAGCCGAATGCTAAGCGAGCTGTGCTGAACGGCGTGGACTTACAAGTCCGGCGTGGCTCTTTGCACATGTTGCTCGGGCCCAACGGATGCGGCAAGTCCACCCTGCTGAAGGTGCTGGGCGGATTGCTCGTGCCGGACAGTGGACTTATCGATGCCGACCAGCCTAGCGGGTTTGTTTTCCAGAACCCCGACCACCAGGTCGTTATGCCAACAGTGGCAGCAGACGTGGCGTTTGGGCTCGGGCGGTGAGCGGCTGGGCTCGTTGTAAAGAGCTTGTTGTGGTGTCTGTTCCGCCAAGCGGCGTGCATGCTACCGTCAGTGCACATCACCCTGGCACCAGCGTCCGTTTGAGACGTCGGGGAAAGTCCGTTGAAGAATGCTGATGGTGTTTGTAGTAATGTGTTAAGCGCTGGTCGTTGCAGGTACCAACTCTCTGAAAGCGAGGTCTCAACAGCTGTCAGGTCGGCGCTGCGTCTCGTCAATCTTGAGGATTTCATGTATCGGGCTACCCACACCCTCTCAGGAGGTCAACGCCAAAGGGTAGCTATCGCCGGTGAGTGGGGCGTTAGTTAGCACGTGTTCTCCCGCATGCATGGGGAAAATACCCGAAGCAATTGCATCACATTCTGTTGTAGGCGCTCTTGCCGAAGACCCAAAGCTCTTGCTGCTGGACGAGTTAACCACCTTCCTAGACCGTGAGGACCAGTTTGGAGTGCTACAAGCGGTGCGCAGCATTGCATCAGCTCGGAATGACGTGACTGCCATTTGGGTAACGCACAGGTGAGAGCCTAACGGGTTACAGAATGTGAGTTCCAGAATGCGCACACTTTGTTTTGCACATGTTTCCAGGTACCCGTTACAAGCAACAGCTAACGGCTACAACGCCCTCCTTGCATATAGGTTCGAGGAGCTCCAATATGCAGACGCAGCGAGCTACATGGAAAACGGCCGTGTTGCCTTCTCAGGCCACCCAGAAGAGGTGAAGGCGTACATGCGTAAGCTAGGAGCTCCTATATAACCTTAAGGAGCTGACATGTGCGTTACTAAAAAGCCCTGTTGATGTTGGGCGAACTAAGCTCGCCCTGGACCCATTTGGCCCTACTGGCACGCACGTGCAAGGATGCCAACAGCCGACTCGGGGTCGGCTATGCGCTTGAAGGGTGTGAATGTGCGTGTTGGCGTGAACTGGATCCTTGCTTGCATCTTCTGGTCTTCCATGGCGTTCAGGACGTTGGTCAGACGCCTTGACACCTCGTCCATGCGGGCCCTGCATAAGTACATGGGGGTTGCACACAGTGGGACGTGCCTCTCCTAATTTAATCGGGTGTGATGATGGGTCTCATTCGTAACTTGGACGTGTTGGCATAGGATCGTGTTGTAAGCATCATGCATTTAGCCGTACTTACCGCTGGGCGCGCAGCTTGTCTGCTGCGTGCATTAGGCGTTCGTTTAGGTGCAACGCGGCAGTGCGCTGCGCCTTGCTGCTGTCCATGGAAAGCCGCCTATCAGACTTCCCTGAAATTCATCAGATTGAGCAATTTGTGAGAAGGCCAAATAATTAACATTGTTAACGACTGGGCATGTAACAAACGAACCTGGGGTAGTGAGGTTTAGCTCTCCCGCGCGCAGCAATGGCCGTAGGGCCTCCGCCTGCATGGCAACCGCTTGGACCACCCCATGCGCGACGCTTTTGCGCAATGCAGACACGCGGCCTGCAGCCATCAACACCTGCATTCACGGAACACGTATGGAAGTGCCGGTCCCTACAAGTCACGTCCAGCTTTCTCTTAGTGATCAGCGCATTTTGACGGATTGATGGTGCTTACTTGTGCGCTGAGTTCTGCTACGGTGTTGGCCGCGGGGTTCTGGTGCATCCTGCGACGAGCGGAGCTAAGTTGTTGTTAACTGACCCCAACGGTTGTGCGCAAGGCCACGCGGACACGCCGTAGAACCACTGTGCGAATTACCCTAAGGAAGCGTCTTGCTGCTCAACTTCCTCCGCTTGCAATTCGAGCTCCACATGCTGCTGGCCTCCTGACAAAGCGGCCATTATAGCCTCCTGCTAGGCGGTGGGATATCCCAGTAACCTTCTGATATCCTTGCTGTTACGCAAGAAGATGTTGGCAGTTTATTGTACCCACCGCAGCGCGGTGGACGTTGGGGCAGGCCCCAGAGTCCTGAGAGGCGAGGGCATTACCAAGCAAGCTTTTCACCAACTCGTGATCTCCCCTTCCTAGCGACATCACTGTTTCCCAGTAAGTAAGTTTTGCCTACTGTTGCAACTGGTACAGAGTTTAGCAATGTTTAGGACTAATAGCGACAAGAACGACAGCACAAGTTATAATATATAGATGAGTTACAAAAAGTAAAGCGGCCTTCTGTGCGTACTGACTTTCCTGGCACCAACATGGAAAGGAAGCCATGAACCCATGATCATGTTTTCGCATTGACAGCTGCGATTCGTCGTACATATCTTCGAAAGGATTGTATTGTACCCCTTTGGCTAAGACTTTCTGTTCAACTTGTGATTCTACACAGACTTAACCAGCTTATCTGCATGTACATAGGTGCTGGGATGGTACGCCTCAACTTCTAAGGCGCAACTCCCAAGGTGTTTACGGTGTCCTATCGGCAATCCTAGGAAGATTACCTTTGACGCTGGAAGATTGCTTCTGGATACAGTGTTTATAGCTGGCGCGAAGGGGAGGTTAGAATGTTACGGTGAGCAACAAGGCAAACAAAAGAGATGAAGGCCATTTATATTCAACACCTTATTTCTGACACTATTACCTGGAGGATAAATTGTCGGGGCGGCCTCTCTGCGCAGGGCTGCCCATTATAAGCCGGAAGCCGTAGACCTTCCCACAGCCAGCAAATCACCGCCTAAACATCGACCAGGGTAAGGTGTTAGCTTGGAAATTTGTTTGGCGTGGAAGTTGCTTCTGGGTCGCCTGTACTTCATTTGCCCTTGGCAACCTCTGAAACCGCTATGCAGGGGCATATTGGACTTAGCTCTAACGGCTGCTGACAAGTATGCTTTAAGCCTCCTGCCGGCTGCACTGAAAGGCACTGCCTTAACCGTCAGCGACGGAGTACCAGCAGCCGACTACCGTGCTGCACACCACCATCCTACAAATGGCATTCCTCCACCTTTTAAGGTGCAGCGGGGGCCTGGCAACCCCATGCTGCAAGCCATGCCTGCACCTCTGCAGGGTCCAGCGCCGCAGCAACCGCCTGGGGATCCTAGGCTAGCCACCAGCTGGGATGCCAGCCTAAAGGAGATATTAGCCGCATTGGAACCCGATAACAGGACGCTGAAGCCAGTAAGTGCGCATGCTGGGGTCCAGGGTTGCGTGTCTAGCCGTAACCATGGAATTCCTTACACGGTAGTTGCGGCACGTTCTTGCTACCCGCAGGCCAAGCTCCGTGATCACAAATACCCGAACCAGAACCATGGCATCCCTCCCACGGGAGCAACCGTTGGCCCGTCCGGGAGGCGGGAACTGGACGACGCCTTTATGTCCTTGCCTGGGGGAACACGGCGAGCGAAGGGCACAATGCCATCTTACACCGCTTCTCCACTTAAAGCGCTCAGCAGGCAAAGCAGACGGCCGGAGGTTCAGGTACGTAGACGCCATCGGTGAAGATGGCGCTTGTGAGCAGGACCTATATCGGTTCGGATACATGCGACAACGATATGTCATTCGGCTTGGCAGCTGAAGGGGTTACACCTGCGCTGGAGCTTACTTCCTTCTTGTTTTCCCCAGGGAGTGGACGTGCAGTACGACTTGGTGCCCAGCGTCAAGCTTGCATGGGTGAACCCCGGCACTGGCGCGTACAGCACGACGGGTTTCGGTGGGAGCCCGAAGAAGTACACAAGCCAGCTAGTCGGTCGCGTGAGCCCTCATTACTCAGGGATAACCACGCAGCAGGCGCAAGTCGGCCAGGTGCGCTGTCATGCCTGGTGTTGGATGCAGTATATGTCGCAGAGGGGACATATGCTGCAATAGGCGTTCCTTGTTGATGACTGCCTTCGCCAGAACCGTGCCCGCACATGTCACGGCTTAAAGCTGACAACGATGCCCCCGTCCTTCACCTGCGCCCACCCCCCCTTCCATTTCCAACCAGGAGATGCTGCACCTACCTGACATCGTTGCCAGCAACGGCTACTCGCAGCAGACAGGCCACACCCAAATGCACGCCAGCCATGCCGGCCCACGAGGGCCGCCCGGCTTTCCAACATGGCCGCATACCGCAGGGTTCATGACCCCATCCAACCAGAACGCGCATCCGCGCAGGGCCTTGCCGTACGTTTCAGCCAACGCACCCTCTCTGGCCAAGCCACTCACAGTCCAGTACCACCCTGTGCTCAGATCCGCCTCCGGTGTTAACGCAGCAATCCAGGCTTCATCACCTAGAGCTCCAACCGCACCGGCAGCTGACGCTGGCATATCGCCGCGACAAGCCCCTGACGAAGCATACTCAGGAGCCAGCGCGGGCCCTGGGGACATGCCATCACCTGGATACATCGTCCTAGTCAGCACGCCGCAGCGGTTGCCACAGACGCCACCGGAGGTGGCAGCAGAGGTTGCACGACTGCGGCATGCACAAGAGCTGGATGGGGTGATCCGAGGAATTCGTAGTGACCTATTGCAGGTTGCGCCGAACAGAACGGAGCCTCCGCCAAAGGTAGGGTAGTCTCGAAACGTACCTCGTGGGGGCAGTTCCCCTGCGCTTATCCGGTTCCATGGTTCAATAGTCTTCGTAACCTTAGCTACATTGCGACCGACCCACATCAGCATAGGCTGCCATGCCCCATTATTTCAGCAGCCATGATACGTAATCCATGTCCAGGACCGACCCACATCAATTTTTTATATATGCCGTGGCACTTGATTTATGTCGAGGGCATTGCCTAGGCTTGGTATTGTGTGGCCGCGCTGCACCCATTTGCTGCCCCCACGCCGTGTCCAATTAGTAGTCCCTACAAGGCATCGCTCTTGTTGCCGTCTTATCGTCTTATGTTGTCGCACCCCACCCACAGTCCAAGTTCCTGCAAATGTATGAGGACCCCAACCGGCCGCTTGCGAAGCTCAATCCGAAGCAACTGCTGGGCGAGATGATGCCGCCGGGTCAGGCACGCCGCAAGGACGCCCACCAATCCGCTGGCGCTTCGGCGCCCAAGCAGCAAGGGGGCGCTGTCAGCCAATCGCCGCTACCATCGCCTGGAAACAGCGCATCTGCGAACAGGTCGCCCATGTACGACAGGCGGCTAAAGCCGCTGCCAGGCACCCCTCCGCGCGACAGCACTGGACAGCAATGGGACCCTACCTCCAGCAGTTTGGAAGCTGGTCAACCAGCGGAGCAGCCCCCCTTGCAGAATGTCCACCTTCGCCTGCCAGACAGCTTGGACGCAGAAGACAATCAGGCGGCGGCGAAGCCACCGACGCAGGCCGAAGAAGCTGCTGCGGCTAGCAGCGGGCGATCAACGCCGCTGTCATCTCTGCTTGGGCACGAGGACACGACAGCAGTGGAGCCCGAGCTTCAGCCAGGCACTGGCTCTGGTGCAGAAGTTTGCGCCCCTGTTGAGGCGGCGGCGGCGGAACAGCAACCCGTAAAGCTGCCTGCTGAAGTGCCAGAAGCGGCGTCCGGTGCTGCCGCCGACGGTGTTGCGGTGCCTGTGTCAATGGAGCCGCTTCCTCAGGCCACGGACTGTGCAACAGGAGATATCATTACAGCGCAGGATGTACAATGTTCCACGGACGGCGGCCAGCAGGAGGTCGTTCAGCAGGCTGCCCAAGCAGATATTGGGCCGGCCGCTGCGGAGCCATGTACTTTGCAGGAGGCAGAGCAGCAGGATGTGCAGGCGCAAGCGCCGGACAAGGCGCCGGCCGATGTAGCTGGATCCGAGCAGGTATCCACCGAGGCAGTGCAAGGACAGCAGTCTGACGTACTAGGGGCAGGTCTTGAAGGCGCTGATCAATCAACGAGCGTCGATACGTGCCGGGCAGCGGACACCGACGCTGCGGGGGCAACGGATTCTGAAACAATGCCGGCGGGAGAGGCGGCAGGGGCATGCAGTACTGCAGGAGAAGTTGCTGCAAGAGATCCAGAACTGGCAGGAAAGCTGCAGCCAGCTTCTGCACCGGAGGAGGTTGCAGTCACTGCTGAAGGCGCCAGCGACAGGGGCTTAGAAGCTGTGGAGGCCGCAGCATCGAGTTCCGAGCGCCTACAATCCACCCCGGCTGCAGACCCTGCGGCTGCGGAAATGGAGGCCACGGCCCCAACCACCTTACAAGAGCCGGTCGTTAGCGAGCCCAGCAGTGACCCCGCTGCTGCTATCGCGCTGGAGCCAGCGGCGACTGCAGCCGGTAGTGATGAAGCCGGACCTGAGCAGGCTGTTGAGCCCGCGCCCGGGCAAGCTGGCGAACCCGCACCTGAGCAGGCTGTTCAGCACGCACCGGAGGCGGCTGATGAGGCCGGACCCGGGCCGGCTGTTGAGGCCGGACCTGAGCAGGCTGAGGTGCCCGGGCCTGAGTCAACTGATGCGCCCAAGCCTGAGCTGCAGCCTGGAACGGACGCCACAGCAGCCGTTGGCAGTGCGGCAGCCACAAACTCTGTGCAAGCCGATGTGGGTGCCGAGGATCAGCCCGCTGGAGAAGCACTGCCTTCGGGGGCAGACATCGCTGCCGACGCTGAGCAAGCCCGTGCCGAGGAAGCTGTGGCGGCCACGACGGATGCAGCTTCAGAAGCCGTTGTTGGGCCCAGTGTTGACGAGGCGCCCTTGGCGGCATCCGCTGAGGCCGAGGCTGATGTAGCAGGCCTTCCAGCCACCGACGCGGACGCCGCCGCCCTACCGGATGATGGCAACGCTGTGCTTGCGGAGTCTTCGGGTGTTCCCCTTGCAGCCGAGGACGCCGCTGCTGCTCCTGCCGGGTCTGCTTATACTCTACCTCCTGGGTTGACGCCGGAGGTGGCTGATGCAGCAGTCGTGCGCATTCAGACGCATGCTCGCGGCCACCTGGCCCGCCGGCGAGTCGCTGAGCTGCGCAAGAGCCGTGATGCTGCCCTGGCGGAAGCAGCACCAACCGTGTTTCTTGTAGCTGCCGAAGGGGAGGAGCCGTACAGCCTGCCACCTGGTGTGACCCCTGAAATGGCCCGGACGGCGGTAATACACATCCAGTCCCATGCACGCGGCTTCCTGGCCCGTCGCCAAGTCGCAGAGCTACGGAAGGGTCGTGAAGCTGCCCTGGCGGAAGCAGCGCCAGCCGTGTCTCTTGTAGCTGCCGAAGGGGAGGAGCCGTACAGCCTGCCACCTGGTGTGACCCCTGAAATGGCCCGGACGGCGATAATACGCATCCAGTCCCATGCACGCGGCTTCCTGGCCCGTCGCCAAGTCGCAGAGCTACGGAAGGGTCGTGAAGCTGGTCAGGCGGCGCTAGCGGCAGCAGTCTCAGCCGCAACCTCATCCCAGTCTACGGCCTACGGGCTGCCGCCTGGTATGACGCCGGAGATGGCGGAAGCTGCCGCCGTCCGCATCCAGTCCCACGCTCGCGGCTACTTTGCTCGCCGACGAGTAGCGGCGCTCCGCAAAGGCCAGAGGTTTGTCGAACAGATGCCGGCAGTTGAGCAAGCAGTGTCGGCTGCGGCGACGGGAGGCTACGAGCTTCCGCCAGGCGTTACACCCGAGGCGGCGGAGACAGCAGTTATCCATATCCAGTCTCACATGCGCGGACACCTCGCCCGACGGCGTGTACGGCAACTGCGCGCGGATAAGTTGGCTCAGGCTCTGGAGGCTGGAGGTGCCGACGCTGAGCCCGAAGCCCTGGCCGACGTTGACACTTCGCTGCGGGAAGCAGAGGCAGCAGACGCAGCGGCAGCCCCAACTGAAGAGGCACCACAGCCAGCTACGGAACCGGAGGTTGAGCTGCTGCAGGAGTTGACCATTGATGCGCTGAAGGCAGCGCTCGAGGACGACGAGGACGATGATGTGACGGCGGCGGCAACCGAGGCGGCGGCAACCGAGGCGGCTGGTGAAACCGTTCCGTTGCAGGAGCCAGAACAAGAAGTGGCGCCTCCTCTTGACCTGTCTGACCCGGCGGCGGTGGCGGCGGCAGCTGCAGCTGCGGCCGCAGCGGCCAAGGCTGCAGCCAGGGAGCTGGGCAACGCCCCGTACGGCAGCGATGCTGTTGCTGACACCACCGCTGCGGTGGACCAAGCAGCAGCGGAGGCTAGCATGGCGCGCTTGGCGGCAAGTTCGGCGCGCACCTCTGCAATGTTCCAGGGTGCTGGCGCGGAGATGCGCTACAGCGATGACGAGGCGTCTGCGCTGGAGTTGATGGACAACCTAGATGGCCTCCTTCAAGGCGACGACGAGGCTGCAGCTGCGGCCGCAGCCGTCGCAGCGGCAACGGCGCCCGCGGACGGCGAGATGGTGTCCATTTCCGCCGATGGGGTTAGCGAGCCGCAGGCGCTGGGCACTAGCAGCGGCGCTGCTCCTGTTAACCCCATGGACCTGCAGGAGCCGGGCGGCGTGCGGGTGCTGGCTGGAAAGTACGAGGTGCAGCATGTGGTGGGCGAGGGAGCGTACGGCATGGTGATGAAGTGCAAGATCCGCGGTACGGATCCGGTTCAGTGGGTGGCCATCAAGGAGTTCAAGATTGACGACAACGACCCTGATGCCGAAGATGTCAAGCGTACGAGCTTGCGGGAGGTCGCGGTGCTGGAGGCGTTGTCACACCCTCACGTCGTGAGCTTTGTGGACAAGTAAGTTGACGCCAATGGGTTGGGAATCCGTTGGTCGGTTTGGCATTGGTTTCAATGGCGACGAGGGTCTCCCTTCTCGCTCCCTCTTACGCGTTTAGGGTCGATACGATCACAGCTGCTGAATGTCCCCCAGTAGGGATGCCCGTACATGCACCCGGTTATGAGCATTTAGCGCCTCTCAATTGCTCACCCCGTGTAATTTTTCCCCACTTCCCCACTGCTCAGGTTCATGGTGGGTGACCGGCTCTTCATCGTGATGGAATTCCTGCCGTGCAACCTGCTGGAGCTGCTGGAGGCTCAACCGGGCGGCATGGACCGCGACGCCGTTCGCCTCATCATGTTCCAGCTATGCTCGGCCATCGCCTTCATACACAGCAAGGTGAGCGTGCCAAGGACCTGGGAGGGTTAGCTGGGCTTACGGGGGCAATCCACCACAGCATGCCGAACGTCTGCAATGTAACACCTTGACTGGTCGGCGCACTTTCCAGCGAGGGATCTGTCGGTACCCTAACAAGCGCGCCGCTTCGGTGCCTGCAGGGCATGGTGTACCGCGACATCAAGCCCGAGAACCTGCTGGTGGACGAGCACGGCACGGTAAAGCTCTGCGACTTCGGCTTTGCGCGCTACCTGCCGTCGGGCCCCAACCCCCACCTCACGGACTACGTGGCTACGAGGTGGTACCGTGCGCCCGAGCTGCTGCTGGGGCCGCCGTACCGGGATTCCACGGGCAAGCACATCCAGTACATGTACGGGCCGCAAGTGGTAAGTTCCCCGTTCCACTCGAAAGGGCATGAACAACTCCTGGGGGTGGGTATAACCTGCCCCTCCAGGCTGGCTATGACCCTGTCCTAGCTACCCCTCAGGCATGCCACTCTCTTACGACTTGGCCCGCATCCCACTCTTTTGAGCTTTGACACCCAACCTAATGTCAACCTCATGGTTCACAGGACATGTGGGCCGTGGGCTGCCTGATGGGCGAGCTGCTGGACGGTGAACCCCTGTTTGCTGGCGACTCGGACCTGGACCAGCTCTACCGCGTGCAGCAGATCCTGGGCCCCATGGCTCCCAGCCACCAGTACCTCTTCTACGCCAACCCGCACAACACCGGTATCGTGTTCAACATCAAGCAGCCGCTCACGCTGGCGGCGCGCTACCGCGGCAAGGTGTCCGATGTGGAACTGGACTTCATGTCTGGGCTGCTGGAGATGGACCCCGAGAAACGCTTCACAGGGGAGCAGTGCCTGCAGCACCCGTACCTGTCGGATTTGGCAGCGGCGGCGCAGACGCTGCCCACACCCTCAGAGTCGGCAACAGCCACGCCTACTGCTACGGTTACGGACTATGCCGAGCCGGAAAGTAGGCTGCCGCAGGTGGCGCCGGCGAACGCAGCACCTGCGGAGCGAGGAGCGTCGTGGCGTGGCAGTGGGACGCCCAGCAGTCGAGGGCTTATGGTGGCAGAGTCGTTTACACGGGCGGCAGGGTCGCTAACGGGCAGGATGAGCTCGCTGGGGCGTGGCCGTGTTAGTCCGTCGCCGCAGCCGCAGCTGTCAGGGGAGCCTGGGTACGTGCGCGCGAGTTCTGTGCTGCGCGCGCATGAGAGCGGGGAGGTGGTAATAGTGGAGGGAGTGGTGGAGGTGGATGATGACCGAGCCCAAGGCCTTGAGGCCGTGAAGAGCATTAGCGCACTGGCGGATATGGCATCGGCGGAAGAGGAGATTACGCCCCGACAGCGTTAGCATTGTGCCGCCTATGTGTGTGGGTATGTGGATTGGCACCTGCTCGTGCGACCAGGGCTATGGCGCTGCAGGGGGATGCGTCTTCATGCGTGGGGGTGCTTCTTGTGTGTTGGGGTGCCTGTGATAAGCATTGTGCAGGGGCTACAGTCCCTAATGTCTTTCATAGTGTAGTAGTGAACCCAAGCGGCCGTATGTTGCTGCGGCCATTCATATTGTACCAATGTTCAGCGGCCTTGCATTTCTTCATTTCTGCTGACGACAGCTTTTCCAAGTAGCGAACGGTTTCCAGGGGGTGTTTGGAGGGTTGTGAGCCCGTATCGAGTTAAGTTTTGCGAAACAAAGTAAAGGATGGTTAGAATGCAGAGGTAATGTACGGACTGCGCTTTACCTTCCATGCGCTGTTAGGACCTGGTTGCGGTGCCAACACGCATTCGGCAGCTGGTCCAAGGTTTAGGGCCCTGTCTACTTTATGGGGGCGGTCCTCGCCGGCAATATCTTACGCATGCTTTAGCTACGCCAACTTCTGATAATAGATGACTGTGTTCGGGGAGAGGGCACCGTGTTTGTGTCCGTGTTTGACTAGTACGGCAATCCAGCAAGCACGAATGCTGGATGTGCCAGCATTATGGTTGTTCAGGAACGACCCGTGGGTCGTGGCGTTAGTTTATCGACGCCGTAAGCTACTCCAAGTGCGCCCAGGAAATGCTGGGAGATTAGATTATGGACGCAGGCCTTGTAGCGGTTGCAAGCATATAGAGAACGTTTGTCCAGGGCTTTCGTCCTCACAGCGCGCCGTGCGCATAGGGTGCACACGTTTGTCCCCTTTGCGGGACCGGTTTCTATGTACAACAGGCCTAACCAGACGTGTCTTACCTGGCTATAAAAATTAGAGTGCATTTGTTACAAAATTGCGAAGCAACAATCCCCCAGTCGGCTCCACTTGCAACCTTTACCAGGACGCAGAGCTTATTAACGTAAATGAAGCTAGCGTCTGGGCGTGCCAGCAGCATCAACGGCAGCACAATCCCCACCACACGCACATCAATGGCAGCATACCGGTGACCGCTGCCACCACCTTTCCGCTACGGTATACCGGTCGTCTGATACACTGCTATCACCGCTAACAAAGCTCGGCTGCGGCTCTTCGAAACCCCTCCCTTGAGCCGTGGCAGTCCCTACCGTCAAAAGCCGTTGAGGGTTAGGAATAGGTGATTCACGGTATGGGTCTGCTCGCTTGCCAATAGAAGCGGGGACAAGTACAGATGAAGGCACAGTGGCGTTCGAGTAGCCGTATCAAGTAAAAGAGCTCCTAGAGCGAGTTGGACAGGCGCTCGGCAATCACCGTGAGGGAGTCCCCTGCATAGACGTCGTTGACCTGCGTAGGAGGAGACAGAAGACCCACAAAGCCATGGGAATGGGATAGTATCCATTAGATGATTCAGGAGAGACCAAGGAAAGAAACTAGCCGCTCTGATAGAAGCCTGAGTGCTGTGTATTGTTGCTTGGGTTTACCGCGCCATGCACATGGGTGTCACGCACGCCTGCTCACCTGCTCCAAGGTTTCTGAGGGCTGCCTTGAAACCACGGCGACAGTTACCAATGTTACGATGGCCACTGCCGCTGCTAGCACGGCGGCGCCTGCGCAGCGCGTGTAGGCAATTCCGCGCGGTAAGCCACTTCTTCAAGCTGCTCGTAAGTTCGTAGCACGGTTTCCCTATGCACGTGGAAATGAGGCAGCGCACTTACCCAACCCGCCTCCCAAGCCAGACGACGCTACAGCGTTTGAGGTGGGGCTGCTGTAGTAGGCCTTGCTCTGGGGTTGGGAACATGGAGCGGTTTAGGTAACACCGAAAGCTAGGTCGTACCGCAAGGCTTTCCAAGACTTACGCTTGTTGGGAAGATGTTGGAGCGCCCGCTGTTGTCTTGGCTGATGTAACCACGCTCGTCAAGGCTCCTGCTACCTCTGCGCAGATTGTGAGGTAGAGACCGTGACGCAAACCTACCCAGGCAGCAACCAACAAAGCACCGCAAGCATACGTTGTCCCAAACCGCAGATGGACGAAACTGGGAGGTTTGCTTGAGTCATGTAAAATATGATGTCGCAATTACTGACCCATTGTTTGCCTCCTTCTTCGCAGCAACGGAGACGCTCCGAGCAGGCGCGTTGGTTTGGCGCGTCGATAATCCCTAACATCACAGCGATTATTGCTTATGTTTCAATCCACTGGACATGTGCAGAACTCTAAAGCCCACCTGGCGACCAGAGGTAATGCGAATGCGCTGGTTGCAGAGCATCATCTTCAATAGCTTCGAAGATCTTAAGGTTTTAATAGACAACGCAGCTAAGGCAGTGACGAATTGTTTCCATCTGCCACGCTGCATGCAAGGCTTTCCTCCCTTTCCAACCACTACCGTTGAAACGTCTTAGCACAAAGTTACGCGATGAACTTGCTTTCTGAAGCATTGTATTCTAAATCATGAGCCTTTCAACCACATCACATGTTAGGTTGTCCATTTGCACATTTAAGGGGCAAGCGAGCCACATGCGATGACCTTGAGGACGCAAACGAGAGATTATGGTAGATCTTACCAGCTGCTCCCCCATACAATATGTATGCCATTTACATATTACAGTCCATATGCTTGCGATCCATGGGACCGCCAGCATCTCCGCCTGCAACATCCGCGTAGCATGCCTCCGGCCTTGCACCTTGTGGATTCAACTGACCTGCCTTTCTTACCCAGCCAGAGATACGGGCCAGAGTAGATGAAAATGGTGGCGGCAAGTGTGCACCGCAGCTGTACAGAAACACGAAATGCCCCGAAACACATCTGCCAGGATGCCGGCTGTTGAGCCCTTTCCACGTTGGTAGCTTACAAGGACCAAAGCATATCGAGTCAGACAAACTTTGATTCGAAGGCCGCAAGGGGTGAATGTGCAAGCCCAATTGCCATGCTGCTACAAAGCCTAAAGCACGCCTAGTGTGCACGCAACCGCACGCCAGCACTCACACGAGCTTACTGCCGCTCACCCTGCCACACAGCCCGCCCTGGGAGTGCACCCACCGAGCCAGAACACCGAGGACCAACCAGCAGCCAATTCCCCATCAACGTTGAGACTGCTACCGCTTGTTGGCTAGTCCAGCCGAAATCTAGCGCCACGCCATCACCCCTCGCCTCCCTTCTCTGCGGCCCCTCTTGCCACTGCTCTTAAGCTCCCCGCTGAAAGCACTGCAAACACTGTCAAACGCTGCAGTTCTTGCACTGTCGCGGCTCTTGTGCAGACTTCCGCCTCCGCTGTCGAGCACCACCTGTCCCTCGCCGGCTGTCTAGGCCGGCTGTCTAGGCCCCGAGCCAGCCCTTCACGCACTCCAATACGTCATCGAACTCGCGCTGGCAAGCCTGAGGGCGCAGGAGGCGGCGAAGGGAAGGCAGGAGGGCAGACAGGGTTAAAGCACCTTTGCATGTAGGATCACACACTCGCCAGTTCGTAGCATGCATGCAAGCATTAATACCAGGGCTGGGCTTTGAATGCACGTCACGGCAACGTGACCAGTGCGTCTCGCTCACGTCCCACTACGGCAGCAAGCTGCTCCACAAGGGGCACCCTCACCGCCCCACCGCTACCCCGGCATCTTGCGGCCCCCGCCAGCCCCTACAGCTGGGCTGGCTCACACGTTGCAAACCATGATGACGCATTATCACACGGCCAGTTAGTTGTTTCCTCTTTACACCCCTACTCCCACCGCCAGCCCTGTCCCCCCCTGGCCCCCTCACCGAGTGCCCCATGCCCAGGTAGGTCTGGAACTCCACGTTGGCTCCCATGCTGGACAGCAGCTGGTAGCTGCGCTGGCCGAAGTCAAACGAAACCTGGGGCCAGGATCCAGCGGCCGGGGGCCGGGGGGACTTAGAAACGGGGAACGGGACCAACAAGCTAAGCACGAGCGGATGGATGAGGGATGGCAATGCACGGCGAGTGGTCAATGAGAACATCGAAACGTCAGGTCCACTCTTCTTCCTCGGCTGCTCCCCTAAGACTTAGCCCAACACAAACACGCGAGTGCCCTGCCGCCCGACATCCAGGCGCCCCCGCACCCAGCGCCCCCGCCAGGCGCCCCGCACCCAGACGCCCCCCAACGCCCCCTCCCAGCAGCGACCCACCACTTGGTCCGCGTCGCCATGGCACATGAAGATGGGCGTCTTCTCGTTGGACTCCGAGATGACCGGCTGCTCCTTGTGCAGCGGCAGGTAGCTGCTCAGAGCTGCAGGGAGGGGCACGGGGGTGCAGAGGTGCAGAGCGGCAGGAGGGGTGGTTGAGGGAGGTGTCGGAGAGGTGGGAAGGGGTGCAGGCGGCGGCGGCAGAGCAAGCTAGGCCTGAAGGCCACATGCTCGCAACCCAGGATGCTTCAATTCCTAACCGATAGCCACCGGTACTACCAGACTAACTGAAAACGGTGTCCTTGGTCCTAGAGGGCACCCCCGGGGGCTTCTCTTGCTTCCACCCCAGCCCCGCTTGCTGCCCGCCCACGCCGCCTCACCCACAATGCCTCCCAGCTTGGTGTTGGAGCGCAGCATCATGAACGCCACTGCGCCGCCCTGCGAGAAGCCGCCCACGACGATCTTGGAGGAGGGAACGCCCGCCGCAATCTCCTTCTGAACCAGCTCCTCCACGTACCTACCGGTACCGTACCATGGAAAAAACATCAAGGGTGGAGGCACAGGGAGGAGGTAGGTAAAGGCAGCGAGCAGTCGGTAAACCGCCGTAAAACAAGTGAGGAGGGTAGGACGGAGGCATGGGGCAGAAGGGAATGGTAGGTTTACGTGTCTAAGCTGTTTGCCCGCGCTTCCCTTCCCCAGTTCCCCAATTACCGCTGGCTCTCTCGGAGCCCTGCTGCATCCTCAGACCGCTGGATTTCTTCCAACGACGGGATGTCGTACCTACAGTGGGATGACCAATGGGCCCGGGGACGCTATCGAGGCTGATGCGAGCAAGGGGCGAACTGAAAACGGCTGTCTGACACGTACCATCCGGGCATGGACATGCCATAGTTGAGGGTAATAGGACGGCGCGGCGCGTGCGGGAAGATAAACTTCGTTCCAGGTAGCGATTGCTTAAACATGTACCTGCAACACAAGAACGGCGGTTACTGTTAATGCCATGGGCTCGACAACGCGAGCGTCCCATGGAAAGCTCCCGGATCACCCGATGTCGCTCCAGCCATCGCCAGTATCGCCCAGGCCATGCAGCATTATAAATGTACTTGTATGTGGTCCCGCAGGCGGGATCTCAATAGGCCTAGCATAGTTAAGGGCCATGGTTGTGTGACTCGCGCGAGCGTTGTGAGTTACACGATAAAGACGCGACCTAAACGGGCTGGGGACTGCTGAGGAGACTGGCGCCAGGCTCCTCACAAGCATTATTCCACCAAGCCCAACCAGAAGCAGGGTCCAAAGGGAAAGCGATGCCACCGTCAACTTTATCCCAACTCAATAACAACTATAAAAATGATTACTTGGTAGTGCTCCAGCACTTTGGGTGAAACGGTTGGTGGCCAATGCAACGACCCTGGGTCATTCCGAGAAATCACCAAATGCAGAAGGTGCCAAGAGCGTTCAAGCCAAATACCTGATAGGGAACATAGCCATATGCATGATGAGCAGCTCACCTCGACATACGTCATGCGGGAACAGTGCATCGCACTGGTCGACCCCAGAACGCCCCGGCTTGTTCAACACCATGCCTCAGCCTGCGGGCTCCCCTAGCTTCCCCGACGCGCCCGACAACCCCATAGGCAGTACCGGCCACCCGGATAAAAGAGGACGGCGACATAGCCGCAGTGGTAACGCCCCAAGCCTTGTGTACGACGACCATTACGACGCCGACGATGAGCTCATGTCATGGCGCATGCATCTGGAGCGACAGGCAGGTTGCTGTTCTAGATGAAAGCGGGATCATTGCCTGTTGTAGACGCATGGGAAGAGGGCTAAGGGTTGTAGGGTTAGCGCTGCGTCGCATTGCATCGTGGCCTGGCGTTCAATTGGTTGGCGGGGCACACTGCTGCTGCTGCTGGGTAGTAGCGTGCGGGTCCCTGCTGCAACCCCTCTTCAAGATTGGAACCCATATTTTCTTATAGAAGCCCACCAACACAGCAACCCCAACTCCAGGGTGCCAGCGCATCCCACCATCCCTCCACCCCACCCCACTCGTTGTTTCACTTACATAATTTTCCCCTCCTCTGGTGTCCCCCAACCCCGCAGCGGCAGCTCTCAGGGGAGCGCCAGCAGCAGCTGCGCATCCTGAGGGCATACCAGTGAGTTGTACCGTGGCGTACAGTTAGCACAACACCATGTTCCCGGACGATGGTATGTACCATTACCGGTAGTAGCCGTCCAATCTAAGGTTAACTGAAGGCGTGCAGGAAGTACGCAGACCGGCACGGACCCCTCCGTTTTTCCCACCTGATCAGGGAGCGCCGTCTGGAGGAGCAGCGAGCGCAGCGGGAGCTGAGGGAGGCGCGAGCGGCCGCAGCGACACAGCAACACTGGCAGCAGCAGCAGAGCCGAGGCGGGCTTGATGGCGGGGCCGGGGGCGGGGGTGCATCCGCCTGGGAGCACCAGTGGGGCTGTGCAGGAGGCAGCAGGCTGGGACTGCTGGACATGCCCGCTAGCGCACTGCAGGCCTGGCGGGAGCTAGAAGAAAGGTGTGTGTTTGCTGGGGATGCTGTGCCCTCATGCAGTCATCGTTCGGGTGGTTCACATGGCGCATGGCACATGACACTCAAGCCCGGACGGGGGGGCCAGTCCAGTGTGTTGAACCCGGGCCGGGTGTCCCTGCTGGGAGGTGGCTGCCCGTTAACTCATACGGGTCTTCACGTGGCAGGTGGGATGCGCTGGTGAGGCGGCTGCAGCAGCATGCGGCGCCTGCAGGCTCGCAGCAGGCAGCTCAGGAGGGCGACGGCGGGGACAGCGCGGCGCTGGGAGCCCGGCAGCAGGGCGGCTTGCTTATGGAGGACATTCCCTGGCCCGCATCCACCAGCGGTGAGGGGGAGGTAAAAAATATATATGATGAGACAAATATATATGGGAGGAGGGGGGCCCGTATCTGGAGTTCTCGAAGTAACCGGTGCATGGCAAGCCACGAGTTAACACCCCAATCAGCATCACCAAGCCCTATCTGCAAGCCTTTACCGCACCAACCGCTGCTTCCCAAACCCGCACCCCCTCTTCCAGGCATGCTCCGCGGTCTGGCGGCACTTGAGCTGCACCGGGCGCGAAGTGACGTCGCCGCCTCCGCTGCTGCCCTGCCCCCGCTGGAGGCCCTCCGCCGTGCCTACCGCTCCGCCGTCCGCCGCTGGCACCCCGACAAGTCTGCTGCCGTACTGGCGGCGCTGCCCCCCGGCCAGCGGGCGGCTGCACGGGAGCGGCTGGTGGGGCTGTGCCAGGAGCTCAACCGGCAGCACGAGCAGCTGCAGCGGCAGCTGTGACGGGCGGTTGAAGCTTAAAAGCGTGGCGGATGGGATTAAGGGTGGCGGTGAGGTTTTAGGAACTTAGGATGGCAGAGATAAGGACCTAGGGAAAGGATTTGAGGGGCATTGAAAGAGTGGGAATCTGGTGTAAAGCACTTCCCCGAAGTAAGAGACCCCGGCACGCGTTGCCTGCCACCCCTGCCTGACGCAACCGCGTCTGAGCGGCATAGACACTCAGGACTTGGACCTGAAGGTGCTGTGAGCTGGAAATCCAGGAGATTATTCGCAGCCTCAGTCGCTCAAGCGAGCTGACACCTTCGCGCAGCTTCCTTTGTCGTAGAGGGGGACAACTGAAAACGGTATGCAAAGTATCCCCATTGAGCACAGGCAGCCGCTGGGCAGTTTGCGTAGCATAAATGCAGGCAGGGCAAAGGCGGATCCTGGCTAAAGTCGCAAGAAGGCTAATTGTACTGCATTGCAGCTACCAAACAGCAGCTCCTCCCATGACAACAGGTAGCATTTGACAAACGCTGCTATAGGAAGCTAATGTGAGGCATGGCTACGGCGGCTGCGGAAGACAGAAGCTTTAGCACCGACGCCAACGACATGCGCTCAATAAGCGCAGTCCCTTTCCCGACCAAAGCACGTTGACAAATCCAGGCTACTACAAGCAGCGAAGCATTATCAAGTCGCAACGGTTCCTCAATTGTATAAGACCCGTGCTTCAGCACGGACTCCATGCCAACATGAAAGGTGCAAATAAGCGACAACAGGTCACTTACAGTGAGGGAATTACAGTGAGGGAAACATATGCATTAGAGATGTTTGCAAGGTAGCACCTTGCACGCATGCATGTAAGGGGGGATGGGGGTATGGGGGAAGAGCTCCACAGACGGCTGCGACACTCCACGCTAGTTCATAGGCCGTTACATAGTGCCGTGCCTACACCGTTGTCAGTTGTAGGCACGAAAATTGACGTGTTTGTCGTTACGATACTTCGCCGAGATATCCGCGCCTAGGCATCAGCATTGCCTTTGAAGGCTACGGCAAACAAGGGCTTTCGACATGTGACTCCTGATGTACGGCATACCATGTGGTTTCGGAAAGCAAGGAGAGCTTTACAGTTTACACTTCTTTCTAGGAATCCTCTGTAGGTAACAGTAACTACATTGATTCCTTAGCTCCGTAGATATACAACGCAATCTGTGCTGTTTGCGATGGCAAGTTGAGTAAAATTCACGACTTTACCCCAACGCTACATAGCATTGCATCATCACTAAATAGCAATGTCCGGGGCACTACGTCACACATCTAGATTGCCAGGTCAAGTCGTCTGCATTCTGCGGTCGCATCGCTTCTGTCAACCGGATTTCCTCGTAACTGCATCCAAGGAGGCTCTAAATAATGAAGATGAAAGGGTGGCGCGTGCCCATGCACCGGCGCTTCAACCCGCTGGGTGGCGCCCCCTGGGACTTCAGGGTGTTGGGTCGATGGTGCCAGGCGTAGCCGCCGCGAGCAGCCTAACAGCGGTGCGCATGATGGCATCTGGGCCAGGCAGCACCTCCGCGTTTGAAGGTAGTTATGTTCATCCATAGGTCCCCGTTCCTCCAGGTGTAGGTTCTAAATGGCACAGACCCGGGCATGGCGTGGGCCCTATTGCCCTGACCCATGAACCCTGTTCGCTGCGCTCTAACCGTCTACGCAGTATCAAACCGACCACTTCTTCGTGACCTTAGTGCTGCATCCTCATCCCTGCCTTGTTCCCGCCCCAGGTCTTAAGCTCCAGCTCCCCAGCAACCCCTTCAACCGCAAGCCGCGACCCGCCGTTCAAAAGCAGGTGCTGTACCGCGGTCGCGGCATGCTGCTGTTCCGCTTCGTGGTGCGCGCCAAGGTGTTTCAACTCATGGGCTTCCTGGCCTGCGCCGTCTTTGCATCGGTGGTGCTCACAACGGTGAGGGCCTGGGTAAAGACCAAAACGAGGTATTGGAGGAGTGAAGGCAAACGGCCTGGCATGCTAGGCCACCCCAGGGGAAGATTGCGGCCAACTTGGCTGGCTTGCAAAGGGTAGCGCCTACCTGATTGACGTCATGGCATGCCCTGTTCGATTCGCCGCAGTCAAATCCGGATCCCATGGATCTGGCAGCGGTTGGTGCGCTGGCGGTTGGTTGCGTCGTGACGTCGTACTGCATTTGGTACTACAGCGGCCGCTACGTGGGCGAGATGTCCCTGCTGCTGCCGGACCGCAACCGCGTGAGGTTCAGTGTGCTGGACTTCTGGGGCAACCGGGAGGTGAGGACACCCAGGAGACAGGACGGGGCGGGCACCAGGAACGCAGAGCAACTTAGGCGGCGCTACAAGCCGGCCATGCCGCAGACTCATGTCGGATAGCAAGACAATGTTGCTGTTCTCGAAGCCTGATACTTCCTGTTAGGCGCAGAGCTTTCCAATGTACCTCATAGGGCTCTGGAGTGGCATGTAAGGATCTTACCCTTCGCCGCATGGCATGTTTCAGAGCATGTACAACAAGCAAGGCTGGCTTTCTGGCTGCTGCTGCCTGCAGGACAACGACGTGCCCCTGGAGCAGGTTGTGGCGCCCTGGCGCAACCGCAGTGTCGCCGAGGTGCGCGCGCAGGCGAAGCAGGCGCTGATGCCGGTGGAGGTGAAGGGAGACCGGCAGTACTACATCTCGGTACCGCACGGATACATCTTAGAAAAGGAGGTAAGAGCACCAATGCACGCTTGGGCATGCAGCTCAGGTTATGAGTAGTCCGGTCTCGGGTATTGTGGACGTGCTCTGGATGTCCCAAGACGCTGTGCTTTCCTCGTACTATGCCGTTTCCGTTTCACTGCTGGGGGCGTGCATCAATCCCCGTCTCTGCTTCGCAGGTGCTTCAAAAGTTGCTGTACGGAGCTCCTTTGGACCAAGACAGGAACGCGGCGACGACACCTGCTGCAGCAGCGTCTGGGAACCAAGCGGAGGCCAGCAGCGGGGAATCGGCACCAGCACAAGGGGCACAAGCGCCCCCAAGTGAAGCTGCCTGTAGCTCCAGTTCGGTGGAGAAAGGTCCCGAGCCCGGTGGCAAGGAGGAGCCCGCACAACAGGGGCAGCGCCAAACACCAGGTGCCTCATAGTAAGCTAGCGCAGGTGGCGGGGCTTGGTGCAGGCGGCTGTGAGCTTTTTACAAACTAGGTGATGCATCAACGTGCATTTCGTTATAGCTTGTGATGTTCAGGAGGCGCGGCGCGCCGAGAGCATTGGCATTCGACTTGCGCCAAGTGTGGCCCCTGTAAGCACGGCGAGCGTGCACCCTGTCTGCAGTAATGAACAGTAATAATGGTTGCCGTGAAGTGTCGAAGCGAGTGCGCAGGCACCAAAATCCCAGAATATCCCTACGCAAACTGTCATTAGTCTCAGTACATGAAACGTAATTGATGTGTCACTGCCTTTCCATACATCCCAACCGTTCAGCAGCCCATGTTGGCGGCAGTATTCAGTCCCGCATCCAGCAGTAAGGTCACCAGGCTTCAGCCCCATATGAGACCATCACCAACTCATTCGCATCTGTCAGGAATTGAGCCAAGCTGCCTCCACTGGAGCACTGGAGTGTCTAGGAGCTCGTATTGCAAAGCTCTCAAGGACGTTCCGGGTTCCTCACACCATTCGTACAGTTGGGAGCGGGGCTCCAGACCGGGGCCGAGGCGCATCTGAGCCCCCTACACCGGCCCCTGGCCCACGGGTCACCACGACCTGGGGTCGCTGATAGAACGCCTGCGCCGTTTTCACCAAACCGGCTTCCGTGCCTCCAGCGGCAGAACCTTGAGCCGCCTGCGCAGAGCCCGCGGGCGGTAGCCCTGCCGCCCCCTTGACGACCAGCGGGTTGCCGCCCATCCCACCGCTGCTCGGCGGCCTGCTGCTGGCACCCGCTCCTGCCGTGTAGGTGGTCGGCCCAGACATAATGCCATTGCCGGGCGTCCGTACGGCACCTGTTATGCTTGTGGAAGCCCCGGCCGGCAGCCCGGAGGATGGAGCCACGGACCCAACCACGCTGCTGCCGGCCCCGCCTGCGCTGTATCCATAACTGCCTCCGTGGCTTGCGGCTGCTGTCGCCACTGACATCTGCTTGGGAGAGAAGGTAATGGAGCCGCGCATATCCACGTTGCTGGCATCCGCCTGTGTCAGCACGTTTGCTGGCTGCGAGCCGTATGCCTCGTTGGATGCCGAGGAGTTCCCTGCAACACCCGGGCTTTGGAAGTCAGCATCAACAATGACATGTACATCTTTACGGGTCGCAGTCCTCACTACCATTGTGCTGCCTTGACCTAGGACGCTATGAGTACCCGACAGAAGTTACTCGCCATCTTTGCTACGACCGACCTTGTGCTGCCTCGGGCGCATGCGGCTCCCCGCCGGCCGGGACGGTCGTCGGGAAGGGGTTCACACCGCCCGGGGGCGCACCGCGTTTCATAATGTTCATCGCCTCGATGTTCAGCGCGCATACGCCTGGTGGGGAGAAGGAGCCACGTCTTCAGGCATGCATTCGCTGGCATTCTTCAGGCACAATCTACACGACCCAGGCGGCATGAATGTATACGAATGTGGCCGGCGAGTATTTAAGAACACCATCTGAACGGCAATAACTTACCGCGCATGAAAGCTCGCTTCATGTTGTCCTCCAGTCGACTCCTGGCCTCAGCCTCCTGCTCCAGCTGCACTTGCGCGTCCGCCAGCATGCGCCTGCATCACACGACAACCCCACGGTCGCAAACAAAGCGTAAGCGCATGGCATCCCTGCATGCAAGCCACACACGATAACCGTGCCCCACACTAGGACTTGGCACATGCCACCAGTACGCTCCCGCGTCGCACCCAAACAGCAACCGGCTCACTCCATGGCACGACTCACTTGAGGTCATTGATCTGACCCTGGTAGTGTTCATGGATCAGCCGCTTAGCGTTCGCCACCTCGTCTATGTAGCGGTTGTTGAGAGTGACGCGGTGCTCGCGAGCCGTCTGGCGGAACCACGCTCGGAAAACGTTCCGCTTGAGGTGCACTAGCTCGTTCCAGCGCTCAGCACGTTCCATGCGGCGGCGGCGCTGCGCTAGCGCCATGGCCTGCTCACGCCACCCGTAGAAGAGCTGGAAGAGCAGCATGGTGCGGCGCCGGTTCTCCTTGGCTTGGCCGTATGCGTCACAGGCCCTGCGGAAAGCAGCTCGGGACGGGTTAATGGCTGTATGCAGATGTAGAGCTGCTGCATGGAGTGTCGTGCTGAGCAGCAAGCCGACAACGGGTTGATGAGACAGGATCGCTTGACGCAGCGGAACGGCTGCGCCTTTACTTGCAAGCAGGCTGGCCCGACCCACCGGCTTAGGGTATCCCAGGTGCGCTGCGCCTTGATACGCGTACCCTCCAACTCCGCCTTCATGAGGTTGAGCTCCTCCTGCGAAGAAAGGGCGAAGTGGTCTTTGCAGCGCGCGCTAAGTATGCCGGTCATACAGGTAGCCGTGCCCCGCATGTCAACAGCAGCGAAAGGTGGGGCTGTGAGCCTGCGACGCACCTCCTTAGTGGCAAGGCGGGCATTGCACGCCCGCTTCTCCTCCTCTATCATCTCGTTTTTGGCCTGCATCAGGCGCGCCTTGGTCTCCATGAAGTGGTCCTGCGGGGTTGCATGGCCGCAACGGTTCGGAGGCATGGAGGAAGGAGGTCCGTACCGGCAGTGGCATTCCCGGGGCGACCCAGTATGCCCAAGGCATCTTCGAGATAGCGGGTAATAGCTGCATGCCCAAATCGGCACCGATGGGCATGCCGGCGGTGCTTGGTAATTGCAGCCCATTCTATGCTGAAGGCCTGGCAACCACGTCCCCCACCTGCGGCAATCCTATAGGCGTTGCATAGACCTATGCAGCGCCTTCAGGCAGGCGTTGCGTATGGCATGCAGAGTCGCGCCCACCTACCAGCATGGCCTTCTTTGTCTGGCTGTGGTGCCTGTCAATCTTCACCGCTAGCGCGTCGATGTCCAAGTCCAGGATTTGCTGGACAGTAAGGCCCTCCAGGTGCGACCCCGTCAAGTGGCCGGGCCCCTGGTCCTCGTCCTGGAAGGCAAAGGCGACAACGTGGCTCGGCTTCAAGAGGGGGCACACATGCAGAAGGCCGGACCTAGCCCCCTGTGACCTACATGTGGAGCGCTGATGGTAATCTCCACCTCGGGAGGTGCAGGCTGAGCTGCAGCAGCCCCAAAAGGGAATGACGGGCCGCTAAATGTGCCCGGCTGGTGGATGTGGGAACCGGGAGTTGGGCTTTCTGCGTGCGCTGGTGAACCGCTGGGTCCCAGTGCTTGCCCCGGCACAAGAATGTCTATGCTGCTGTTACCGCCTCCAGCGTTGGGCGTAAGGGATAGGGACATCATTGACGATTGCAGCTCGGCTGTCATGAGCGGAGCGCTTGTAGTAATGGCAGCCGACGACGTCCGAGTTGCCGCGGCAGCAGGTATCATAGGATGAAGTGGCTGTATGGAACTTGGTTGCGCATCTGTGGGCAGCAGCTGGCCGCGTGTTAGTGTTTCGGATACATTTAGACCAAAAGGTCTTAACGAACGCGCGCCTGCTCTGTTGCGCTCCGTATTATGACGCCTTGGGTGCTGTCCATAGCCTGACAGGTAAGGATTATGATGTCCGGTCATCCTGGCAGGGCTGCGCTGGAGACAGCTGGATAAAGCCTTTCGTCAACTCAAGGAATAATCAAGAACTTAGGCCCAGGCCCTTGGTTGTATGAAAGAAATTCAGAAACTCTAAAGGCTAAAGCAATTCGATAGGCAAAGGCAACGTCTTCGTGTCGTGACTGCTCGGATGCATGGTTTGGATTCGAAACCAGTACGAGCCCTAACACAGTAACTTGCCCGGAAAGGCACGTTGTATGTAGATGACCATGCTTGGGTTATCTTCCTACACCGCAAGGTGGGGGGCCAGCGTCTCGCTGGTCCTCCTCTTGCATGTTGTTCTGCCATGCCAAGGGGCAATAGAACCCTTACCGCTATCGGACGTGCGACTTTTAGATACTTCTATACAGATACGTTATGAAAGGCTTAACGCGAAGTACCTGCTAGACATGTTGGACCCGGACCGCCTGCTCTGGTCCTTCCGCAAGACAGCCGGCCTACCAGCACCGGGGACGCCTTATATTGCTTCATGGGAGGATCCTGGATGCGAGCTACGTGGCCACTTTGTCGGACACTACTTGTCGGCACTGTCGCTGGCATGGGCCGCGACGGGTACGTACCGGACGGGAACGCCAGAGGGGGTCCCCTGTATTCCCACCCAGAACATGCCCTAATACATATATGAAACGGGTCTCAGCTAGGCTAGCGTCTCTGTGTTTCCCTTCCGGTGTAGGCAACGTTGCTTTCCACACGCGTCTGGAGCTAATGGTTTCGGAGCTGCGCAAGGTGCAGGAGGCCTTCAACCTCGGAGGCTATCTGTCCGCCTTTCCCACCGAGTTCTTCGATCGGGTGGAAGCTCTGAAGCCGGTCTGGGCGCCGTACTACACGGTACGCGTTTAGCTCACGCTCTAGGCCCCCAACACCATACCACCACCACCATGAAACGGCTCTCCGCCTACGTCAACCCCCCCCCTTGACATCCTATCCCCTATCCCCTTCGACTCCAAACTCCAAACACCCATCCAATCCCCCCTCACCCCGTCACCCGTGCAGATCCACAAGATCATCGCGGGCCTGGTGGACGCCTACGAGCTGGGCGGGCAGCAGCAGGCGCTGCCCATGGCGGTGCGCATGGTGGCCTATCACTGGAACCGCACGCAGGCAGTCATAGCGGCCAAGGGCAGGGGGCACTGGAGCGCGGTGCTCAACTGCGAGTTTGGCGGCATGAACGAGGTGCGGCAGGGCTTGGAGGGGGAGGGGTGAGTCAGCCTTGGGGTGATGGGGTTCACTGCGGTAGGTGAGTGCCCAAGGGCCATCTGGCGAAGGACAGAGGTCACCTGCCGTCTGACTGGCATCGCCGCGACTGCCAAATGCGTCCATGCTGTGACTCTTTTTACGGAATGTTTGCCACAGGCACCCCAACTCGCTCGCACCTTTACTCACATGTGACATGCCACCTTCCCTGCCTTCCTCCCGCTGGCCCAGATCCTGTACCGCTTGTACCGCATCACGCACGACCCGCGGCACCTGGAGTTCGCCCGCCTGTTCGACAAGCCCTTCTTCCGCGAGGGCATGGAGAAGGGCAACGACATCCTGGAGAGCCTGCATGCGAACACGCACCTCGCGCAGGTGGGTGCGGACCCGTGGGTCGGGGAGAGCACACACACACGCACACACATCGTACGTTCCTACTCGCGGCCAGTTTTCTTAACACACCTCGTCTTGCAACTAATATGTTAATTGGCCTGCTGGAGCCATGTTTGGGGCGACACGTTGCAGTGGTGGTCAGGTGCGGCGCGTTCACCCCGCGTTACTGAGCAGCGGAGGATGCACCAGACTGCTGCTGCCACTTCAGGGTGTAGTCAGTACCGCGCGTTTTCTCCTGCCATACCACACCGCTTCCTCCCCTGCCACCGCGCCCCATCAGGTGGCGGGTTTCGCGGAGGCGTACGACGCGGTGGGCGACGAGGCCGCGCGCACGGCCACCCGCAACTTCTTCGACATCGTCACGGAGCACCACAGCTTCGCCACCGGCGGCTCCAACGACCACGAGTTCTGGCAGCGGCCCGATGAGATGGCGACGTCGGTGTGGGTGGTGAGTGTGCGGGGGCGGGGAGCGGGGTCGGGGGGTGTGCTGGCAAGGCGCACGGCGGGGCGAGGCCGGGGTGGAAGGTCCAGTGCTTGGGAGATTCCGGCATGGTTGATAATGCTGTGATGATGCAGCGTTTGTGACGCTGTGTACCCGGAGGTAGAAACTGCATGTGTGACAGCTTGGGCTAAGAGCGCTTGACCTCCCCTCCCCCTCCCCCGCCTGCTCTCCTCGCCCGCAGCAAAAAGACGCGGTGGAGACGCAGGAGACGTGCACCCAGTACAACATCCTCAAGATCGCCCGCTCGCTGTTCCGCTGGACGGGCGACGTGCGCTACGCCGACTTCTACGAGCGCGCGCTGGTGAACGGCATCCTGGGCACGGCGCGCCTGCCGCCTGAGGACTGGCCGGAGGTAAGCCGCTGGCTGTGACCAGACCAGAGGCTGCTGCCAGCAATGCGGTACAACATGGATGACGGTACTGGTACTGCTGCAAGACATCTCCATCGTAAAGGCTTGAAGCCTTGAGCCCCTCACTTCCTGACCCTCAACGGGCGGCCCAACCCCAAATTCCTTACCCGACGCCCCGTAACCGCTTACCGCAAACCCCACCCGTCCCCCCCAGAACGCCCTGCCGCAGCGCCACGGCGGCGACGCGCACCACCACCACCACCACCACGTCAACCACCTGCGTCGCAGCCTGGTGACCAGCGGCGCAGCAGCCCAGCAGGCCGCTGGGGCAGCAGGCGCCGGGGGACAGCAGCAGCAGGCGGCAGGCGGGACGGGCTCGGTGACGCTGGTGAGCTCGCACCGCCGGCCGCACAATGAGGAGTGGCTCAACTGGTGGGCCTTCGCCAAGCCGCAGCCCGAGTGGAATGCGTCGGACGCGCATGGACCAGGTGTGTGTACGGCAGTGAGGGTGCAAGGCTAGCGACCCGGAATGGGTCGAGAGGATCCGGTTAGCGTATAATAGTGTCGTGGCGGGGCCTGTAAAGTATAACGGAAGTTGGCTGCCGCCAGCTAGGGCTATAAATATAAATGACACGTCCCGGTTTGGATGGTTTACATGGCGAAACCCGACTATGTGCCTGTTCCTGCCTGCCGCCTGTTCCTCTCCGCAGGCGTGTTCATCTACTTGCTTCCGCTGGGTACTGGCCAGTCCAAGTCGGACAACATCCACCACTGGGGCTTCCCCTTCCACTCCTTCTGGTGCTGCTACGGCACCGTCGTAGAGTCGTACGCCAAGCTGGCCGACTCCATCTACTTCAAGTAGGGCCTCTGCCATCTACCTCGCATCCCTAGCCGCATGATGACCCATGGGTCACCCCGACAATCCAGCCCCACAGGCCGACCCTATACCGTTTGCATGCGCGTGCGCCACGCAAGCGACTATATGCCACTAGCCAGCCTTTCGATGCTCACTTGCATTCGTTTCCATTTCCAACCATCCAGTACGTTCCCCCACACCGCCGCACCCCCCCTTCTCCCCAGGGACATGACTCCGCAGCAGGGCGAGCCCTCCGCCCCCAAGCTGCCGCCCCGCCTGTACGTCAACCAGCTGGTGTCCTCGCGCGCCACCTGGCGGGAGATGCAGCTGCGGGTCACCATGGAGGCAGACATGTTCGCAGCGGGTGAGGGGATGAGGTGGGATACATAGCCCGATGAGGATGAGGGCGAGGGTGAGGGGAGGTGTTTGGGGCGAGCGGCCAGGCCGGGCAGGGGAGGGCGGGAGGTGCAGGCCTAGGGACTAAGGACGATATGTGGATAGGTGATGTGTCCCAGAGGTTGACTGACCAGTCCCTTTAGCATAAGAAAATGGGATTGTTGTCATTAGCAGAAATTGTGATTCCGACTCTGTGTGCCCCTATCCTCTGGTAACCGCACCACGTGCTCTACCTGCCGCGCAGGCCCCGCTGCTACGGCGGAAATCCGTTTCGAGCCGCTGAGCGCCCCCGCCGCCGGTTCGCAGCTGCTGGACAGCTTCACGCTGATGGTGCGGGTGCCCGAGTGGGTGCGTACGGCGGGGCCAGGGGAGCGCAGCAGCAGCGGCGGCACGGGGGGCATCAGTGTGGATGTGAACGGGCAGCTGTGGACGTCCTGCCCCGGGCCGCCCACGCCCGGCAGCTACTGCCAGATCACGAGGTGAGTGGCGGGTGGGTGCATGCGCCAGTAAGCGTGTGAAGGTCTGAAGGGTCCTTCAAAGGGGCTAGGGCGACGTGCTAGCGGTTTTGCCGTGTGAGAGGCAATCTCGTGAGGTGGAGTGCTTGGAATTTGGTAGGAACGTGTCCGAAAGCGGCTTAGGATTGACTCTTATGTCTTATCACAAGGTCTTATCACGAGTGCTAGAGGTACCGGTATACCTGTACGGTACAGCCGTGTCCGGGAGGCCACCACCTCTCCTGTGTGCTCCTGCCTCCGTGCCTCTCCACGCAGGCAGTGGTCCACGGGCGACACCGTGTCCCTCCGCATGCCCATGCGCTGGTGGATGAAGCCGCTGCCCGACAACCGCCCCAACTACCACGGCCTGCGGGTGCGCGGGATCTGTGGGCGTGATGAGGACCAGAGGAACTGGGGTGCCGCCTCTTTCTCCACATGTTCTCATGGGCTCATGTGACAGCCTCTTGCCTCCTCCTGGCTCCCATTACCACCCACGTGCCTTTAGCCCTGCACCTAACCTGAGATCCAGGTTTCTTTTCCATCCTCACCACCCCTCCTGCGGCGCCCTGCTCATCCTGCGTCTGCTTGCCCGCATGCCCTCAGGCGGTGATGATGGGTCCCTTCGTGATGGCCGGGATCACGCACCGCGACCGCGGGCTGCGGCTGCCCGCGGAGCCCGCCACGCTGGCCAGCCGGGTGTACCCGCCGGAGGAGGCGGACGAGCTGCTGTCGGTGGAGGTACGGCAGGGGAAGGGGAGGGGTTGCTGCTACTGGCGACGGCTGAGGATGCCATACGTCAACGGCCAGAACGCGGGTTGCATTGTTGCATATCGAACGAGGGAGCATCAACGCATCATACAACCCCGTCCTCTCTCTCCTGTCATCGCTGCATTCATTCTACCGGTATACCACGGCCATGCCTGTTGATCTCCTCAACCTCCTCCTCGGCTTGTCAGTTTCCTCCACTTTATCCTCTCCTTCCTCAGGCGAGCTGGAACGCCAGTCTGCGGGTGCGCCACGACGCCCACCTGCTGTACATGTCGGCCCTGGAGGACGGCGGCGACGCCATGGACGCCACCTTCCGGCTGGGTCGCGCATGCCAGCACACCACCGACACGGGGGCGGGGCCGGGCTCCTCGGCCTCCGCGGCCTCAGGCGGCCACCACGGCCTGCTGTCGCTGCTGCATGGTCAGAAGGCGGTGCAGGACGGCAGCAGCGCTGAAACCGCCAGGTAAGGAGGATGTTCGGCTGTTGTTTACTGGCACATGCGTCCGCTTTGCCAACACGGAGAGCAATCAGGGGCTCTATTCAGGTGCTGGCGAAACGCATGCATGCGGTTTTGCATCCCAGCTGCAACGAAGCCTCCCCACGAACACTTGCCTCGGAGCGCCCCAGCATGGCTGTCTGGCTGCCTCCACACTTCCCTCCCCTGCTGGAGCCTTGTCGCATGGTTGCCTTCTCTTGTCACATGATTGCCTTCCCCGCCCCCGCCCCTGCCCCGCCCCGCCCCGCAGCTCTTACAGCCACAGCTCGCTGGCTGGTGCCTTCGGGTCGCTGCGCTCGCTGATGCGGCTGGGGCAGCACGACTCGGGGCAGCAGCTGAGCCTGGAGTCCATGAGCTACCCCAACCACTACATCGCGTACGACCACACAGACGTCATCGTGCTGCAGCCGGTGAGAGGGGTTTCGGGGGAACCATGCAGTGCGGTGCGGGACCCTGGGCAAGGAGGGCTGTTGTGCAGGCTGACTGCTGATGAGGGTCGGTGCTCGGCATGTTTGCGTGGGCTTGGAAGCCGTTTGCCCCGTGATCAGACACGTTCCTAAACCTGTGTTTTACCAAGCCGTCGCCCCACTCCACCCCGCCCCGCCCGCCACCCTCTGCAGGGCTCCGCAGGTGCCTCCGACGCCGCCACATGCAGCCGAGCCATGTGGATGATGCGGCCGGGGCTGGACGGAGCGCCCGACACCGTCTCCTTCGAGTCGGTCAGCCGCCCCGGATTCTACCTGGCAGCAGTGGGGCCGGAGCCGGGGCAGGCGGGGGATGCGGCGTGCCGTGACGCGTCGGGGCAGCGGTGCCACGACCAGAGCGAGAACGGGCCCTGCGCCAGCGACGCATGTAAGTTCGTTTCCTGCAGCGTTCGATGACTCAGTGATCTGGCTTGTGGGCTGTGTCAGCGTCCTTTATAACTCTTTTCTGTAGACTAACAGAACCTCATTTCGCTCAACCTTGACCCTGTTACTGGTACCGCATCCTGGCCGCAGATGCTGCACGGGTGACCTGTCGCCAGTCCTGCGGCTGGTGCAACGTGACTGCCTCGGCGCTGCGACTGCGGCAGCGACCCATGGGCGACGCCGCCTTCGCCAAGGCCGGCTCCTTCCGCCTGGGGCCCGCCGCGCGGCGCTCCTACCCCGCCGGCTCCTACGTGCTGGCCGGCCTGAACCGACACTACCTGCTGGCTCCCATCGGCAACCTGATCGACGAGCGCTACACGGCATACTTCATGGTGGTTAGCGACCCCGCGCCTGCCAGGAGATAGGGGAGCTGTGATTGGAGCCGTGATAAGGCCCATGAGCAGCGTAGATACCGGTAATACGGTAGTAGTAGTTTGCATTTCCTCTGGCTGGGAGTTTTGCTATCTGCCCATTGCATGCACGCAGGTATTCAATTTTTTTGGGTTTTGCTGGTTTGACAGCTAGTGCGCTGGTATGTATCTATCTAACTTGCACTTCTTCACGCCTATTAAACGGGTGGCGTAGTAACGGCGCTGTAGAGGATGATGCAGTGGTTGCGTTCACCTTGCGAATGAGGGGTGACGGCAACCGATGCCAGAAACCTGTCAGGAGCCAGCCATATGTTTCAGGGACAGCGGCCCGGCTGCCGTTACGTGTCTTTACACAACATGCAACCTCTAGGCCTCCTCGCAACGGAATCAATTGCCACCTGCCGTACCATACCAGCGCTGCAAGCGCACGGCCGCATCATGCGGGCAACCCCGGGTGCCCAGGGTCAGTGCCACCTTGTGCCGCCAGCCACACCCAATGAGGGGGCACCAATACCGTAGTGTACAACGCGCTTATTGCACTTCATGCTACCTTGCTGTCTAAACCCCTTGGGAACGCCGAAAAGGGCCAGGGCCCTCTCATCCTCTGGGCTCAAGTGTCAACGTGAGAGTGGAAGCTAAACGCAGAGGTTGCCGCGAGCGAACACTCCTTCCCAGTTGCTGTTCAGGAACACGATCCATTGCCCCATTTGCCCCCACACACGCGTGTAAACTTTCTCGCATGACCCACCCATCCCTGCCCGCCCCGTCCGCGCTACCAACTGAGCCACTGAAGACGCCACAACAATCCAGCCACCAGCACATTCTCCACACCCTGTCGCGCCCACGTATGCTCGCACGCGCCCTGCCTCCTCCCGTCTACGTCGCCAACTGTTCTTCGGTGTCCTCAGTCCGCCATTACCCACCAACCAACCGCACCCGCCTGTTGCAGCGCTCCCAACCCTTCTCCTCCCCTACATCAACCTGCACCACTGCCAGCCATCCGCTACGTCCTCATTCCTTTCCCAACCAGTGTGCGCCACAGCGCAATCACCCGCTCCTCCTCCACACCGCCACATGCACCCTACGCCCCCAGCAACAGGTCCCCCCCGCCCAGCCCTACCGCCCGCCGTACCGCCGCCGCCGCCGCCAGCACCCCGCACAACGACAGCACCGCGGCGCGAGTGCCGCCGTGCGCAGCGGGGGCCAGGGGCCAGGGCAGGTGCGCCCATGCGGGGGACTGCGGCCGCAGCTCGGGGGGTGTTGGTGCGGCGGCTGCGGGATCTAGATAGGTCTCGTAGGAGGCCCCAGGGGGCTCCGTGAAACCCAGGTCTGCAGGAGGAAGCGAGGCGGAAGGGGACGTTAGGAGCATGTTAGGAGTGATGAGTGATACGTGCATGAAGTGAACTACGTGCGCTGACCTGCAGACAAACTGGGTTGGCGTCAACACAGCAGGGTGAGAGGGGAAGAGGCCGGTGCGTGAGTATGACTGCTGACGTCCCAGCCCTTGCCAGCCGGTAATTGACCTCCCAAAGCCTGTCCGCACCCTTCAGCCCAACCCTTACCCTTCAGCAGCTCGCATGCCGCACATGACGTGCTGCAAGCCACGACTCGCAGCGCCGCCTCAGCCGCGGCCACGGGCCACCAGCCCGCCCAGCCCTCACGCGGCGCTTGGGGCGCCTCCTCAGCTAGCTGCATGCCGCCCCTTGCATGTGGCTGAGGCAGCCCTGCGGAGGTGCCGGCTTCCTGGGACTCTTCCGCAGCTTCCACCGACGTGCTGCCGCTAACATCTCCAATCTCCCGCTGACCCGAGCCGCCAGGTGAAGGAGGCTGCTGCTGCTGCGGTGACAGCGGCTCCAGCTGCCGCGCTGCCACGATCTCCGAAACCGGGAGAAGGTTGTTGCTGGTGGTTGTCGGTTGCGCCAATGTCGGTAGCGCAGGAAGCGCGGCCTCGGCTGGGGCTGCAGGCGCGGCGGCAGCGTCGCCCAAACGTAGCAGGAAGGCTACCGGGCGCTGTGCTTGCGGTTTAGCCTCTCCCACAGCTGACGCATGGGAGTCTTCTCCAAGGCGTCCTGCACCAAGGCGTCCTGCACCGGTGGTAGCGCTGGTGCCCTCGGGCGCTGTGGTGTCAGCGACAGCGGCATCGGTACCACCGCCGCCGCCGCCGTCAGCGCTGAAACCGCCTGTCGGTGTCGGCGAAGGCTCGGAAGCTTCCCGCAGCGACAGCGGCTGCAGGCCTCCCTGGCCTACAAGGGCGCCCCAAGGCACGCCGGCAGCCGCTGAGGAGGGCACCGCGACGGCGCCGTCACTGCCGCCGCCGCCGCCGGACGCCTGCTGCTCTTGCTCCTCGTCATCTTCAGCCGTCTGCACCTGTTCTGATAACGGTACCTCCTGTCGGCTGAGGTCCTCGGTAGATAGGGGTTGCAGCGACGCTGACGTGCCCTCACCACCCACCCCTGCCTCCTCCGCCGCCTCCGCCGCATCCGCCTCTGCCTCAACTGCCGCCTCAACTGCCGCTTCCACCTCCGCCTGCAACTCCTCCTCCAACGCCTGCTGCATCTCCGCCTCCACCTCCGCAGCAGCCTCCCGGGCCGCCAGCGCCGCTCCCGTGCCCTCCCGCTGCTCCACCGCCCCTGGCATCACCACCGCCGCCTCTCCCCCCTCCTCCTCCTCCTCCTCCTCCCCCTCCACCTCGGCCGCCTCCGGAACCTCCTCCGCCGGCACGTCATCCTCCGACTCCACCACCAACGCCCCCTCACCCGCCGCCAGCAAAGCATCCAGCTCCGCCTCCGCCTCCGTCTCTGACTCCACCGTCGATCCCGCCTGCGCCGCCGTCTCCTCCAACTCCGTGTCCGTCTCCAACCGTACCTCCTCCGCCGGCGCCCCCAACGCCAGCTCCAAACCCGCCGCCTCCGCCGCCGCCGGGACCGACGGGAGCAGCGGCGCGCCCGCCCTGCGCGCCTCCGCCGCCTCCTCCGCCTCCGCGTCGGCGTAGCTGGACCGCATGACCGCCATGTTGCGTACGCTGACCTGCGTGGGCGCCTGCACCCACTCCTCCGTGTGCGGGCGTACGGCGGGCTGGCGCGTGGTCCGCAGCAGCAGCTCGTCCACTACCTTGGCCTCAGTGCTGGGGGATGGAAGCAGCTCTGGAAGGCCCCGGACAGCAGCGGCGGAGGCGGAGGCGGCGGCTCCGCCGCCGCTGCTGCCCGCTGCAGCCTCCGTCGACGTCATGGTGACCGGCGTAATGCGCGCCGGGGAGCCCAACGGCGGGCGGCTGTTGAGTGATGAGAAGTACGGCGACGTCACGCGTGGCGCCAGTAGTTGATGCGGGGATAGCCCCTCGTCCTTGCCCTCACTACCCTCAGGTACGGGATCCAGCAGCGTCAGCGGCTTGGGCGCAGGATGGGATCGCCGGCGACGGTTGGCATGCCGACGGGAATGTACGGCAGGTGCCGTACCATTGCCGCCGTCCCGGCTAAGCGGCGTCTCAGGTTGGGTGGTACGTGGCTCCGGGGATAGGGCTGCTGCTGAGGCTGCATGGTCGTTATCCTCGGCTGCGTCATCTTCGCCGCTGCCGCTTGCATCGTCGCTAGCACTGCCCTCAGCGGACCCACCTGCAGCGGCTACAGCCTGACTGCTGTCGGCACTCTCGGCCGCCGCCGCTACGTACGGCTGTACGGCAGCCATAGCGGCTGCGGCTGCGGCGGCTGCGGCGGTAGCCGCTGCGGCCTCCTCTCCAGGCTCCAGAGGCCCCTCATCAGCCGTCTCGACAACTTGCACCTCTTCTTCCTCCTCCTCCTCCTCTGGCACTATGGCCTCCTCTACAAAGGGAGTGGCCTCCAAGTCCGACCCCGCCTCCGCCTCCGCCTCCGCCTCCACCTCCTTCCCCGCCCCCCCCTCGGGCCCAGGCTCCGCTGCTGCTTCAGACCGTACCAGCTCAGGCTCGACCACCGCACCGCCCGCCTCCGACCCCTCCCTTTCAGGCCGAACCTCAGGCTGGCTCTCTACCGCCGCCTCTTTGACTTCTTCAAGCTCCGCCGGCCTGTCCGTGATCTCCGCCGTCGCCCCACCGGCCGCCTCATCCGCCTCCGCCTCCACCGCCAGCTTGCTTGCCGCTGCCCGTACCATGGCCTCTTGACAGCCTGAAAGCACCGCGTGCATCACCTCAAAGCCCGGGGGTGCTCCCCCACTGCCACTTCCGGAGCTGCTGCGGCGGCCGCCAGCGCCGGCGGGGCTGCCACCGGCGGCAGCGCGGGACTGCTCGGACGGTCCAGCGGCGGACGGTCCAGCATGGCCGGGCGCGTCGTACAAGTCCCCTGTCAGAGATGACCCATGGGTCTCGATGGGTCGTGGAGGAGACGCCGGCTCGAGGTTGGTGGCGGGCGGGGGCCGGCCCATGTCCAACACGCCTGTGATTTCTCCGCTGGGCCGCATGGCGAAGGAGGGGTCGCTTCCCGTGTCAGTTGGGACCGCCGCATCTGTAAGGAGGCATGGCAAAGCGAGGGTTGGCACATCAGGGAGGTTAGGACTTAAGAGCTCGCATCGCATGGAGCCGTACAGCACAGTACAGGTAGGTAGGGGTACCTTACAGCGACAACGTACTACACCATAACGTACGGCATTACGCAGCATGTAAGGGTGTGTACGGCCCTGTCAAGCAGATGCCGTCACCACTGCGCCTGCCGGACAAATGCTTTGCAGCCTAACCGCAAGCCGCGTACCTCCTCGGCTGTTGCTGCCCAGGCTGTTACCGCCGCTGCCCACTGCGCCCCGCAGCACCCAGGGGGACCGACCGCCCGACAGCGCCGTCACGCCGTTGCTGCCCACTGCGCCGCCGCCGCTGTCCGTACCGCCGCCGCTGAAGCTGCCGCTGCCGCTGCCGCTCCCCTGCACCCCATCGAGCAGCGGGGGCGGTGTGCGTTGGCTGCTGCTGGCATAGCCACTGCCGCTGCCGCCGGCCGGTGCAGTGTCCAGCTCAGCACCTGGCTGGCGGGCTGGCGGCGGGGGCGGGGGCTGAGAGCGCATGCCACCGTTGGGCCCTACAGCCTGCAGCCGTACTTCCGCTGGTCGTCCAGTTTGTACGGCTTCTATCTCTCCGTCGCCGCCGCCGCCGTTCAGGCCTACAGCAATACCTCCTGCCGTACGTCCCGACTCCGCTGTCCCTCCCCCCCCTGCTCCAACCTCATCACGCCCGCCAGCTGCCTGGATACCCGAACCCAGGGTACCTGGCGTCGGCGACGGTGACGGCGACGGCGAGGTCCGCGGCGACGGCAGCACCCCCTGCGATCGTGCCGCTTGCCGTACGGCATGCATGGCGGCCGCCGCCATGCCGGCGCTGGCGTCATGTGGCTCCACGCGGCGCTCAGGATGAAGCTCCAGGGAGCCCACGATGGGTCCGCCCTCCGGCTCCAACTCAAGATCCTCCTCAGCCGAGGGCTCCACGTCAGCCGAGGCCACACGGCTGCCGTACGCTTCCCGTGACGGCGCCGGCAGCAGCGCGCATTGGATGATGGCGGAGGCTTGGGTGGGTGGGGCTGAGGTGCTGGGCGCCGGCGGCACTGCTGGCGCCGCAGCAGAAGAGGTGGCGGACTCTGATGTGGGCTGCGCCGTTGGCGGCTCGGTGGTCGTAGCGGTTGTGGTGGTTGGTGCGGGCGGAGGCGGGTAGATGACGGGTGGCTGAACCGCTGCGTAATCAACGCCCACAGCTGAGGCGCC